AAAAATCTCCTACATGATGCCTTTAATTTAAGTCTTGCTAGGACAACTAATCATGGTTAACATAGAATCAAGTATAAATGAATATCATTTCAAGCTGATACTTTATACATCATAGTTTCGATCAGATAGGCAGTCGTCTGTATGAAAACTGCTAAAGAGTGCCATACTAGAACGAAACAGCTGTCAATCTGACCTTAGTTTTCAACAGTTCTGTAAGTGATATTAGTGTATTATTAAAACCAGACTCAAACTGAAGTAGTCTTCAGAAACCATCCAATTGAGAAAATAATAGGATTATCGGCCCTACAATTTGATACAGTTCTATATATATATGAATATAAATTATTAACTAACCCATATACTTTATTTTATTTAATGAATAAATAAATATATTCTCACAAAATATTATAAACTGATATTTTATTAGTCTTGAAATGACACGATATGATAAATGCGCATAGCCGTTGTTTGATTTCGACTTGGGGTTTTTTAATTTATCATGAATTAACCGATTGATACCTCATACAAGTTATCATTCTGTAAACCAAACAGAACGATACAAATCACAATTTGTAATAAAAACATAGTAATATTCTATACCAATGATTTATAGAATAAAGTACTATGTTCATTACGAACACACTTCATCCAAAGAGGAATCTTTAAGACCTGGAAGCTACTACACAGCTATTATTACATTACTTTTAACGACACCTAGTGTTCCCGGGCACTTTTCATCTTGCGCTGGATCGTGAGGTTTTCAAACTAATAAATTGACTTCGAGAGGTAAATCCAGTAGTTCTAGTGAGAAGCAGTGACCAGTGGAGTTCAAACCAAGTCTGTTGTGGGATAGGAACTCACTGAAGACAATTGGTGAACGGTTGCTCAACTTCGTGGATTGGTTGAAGTTAGACATTAACATCATCGGATGACGGCTCAGTGGTTTATCAGTTAAGTGCTCTGGTACGAGACTGGTGGGTTCTGAGTTCGAATCTCTTAAGGCGAGGTCGTGGATGCGCACTGCTGAGGAGTCCCATAATAGGACGAAATGGCCGTCCAGTGTTTCCAGGTTTTCCCTGATGGTCTAGCTTCAATTGGGTCACGCTTTCAACCGTGAAAATAATAAATTAAACCAAAATAATCTAAGGCTATATTTATTTGACCAGACGACAGGTAAAATAAATGCAAACTTCATTCTTTGACCTCATCCATTATCCTTGTATATCGAGTCAACTAAAGACTTGTTTATTTTCACATAAATCAGGTCTCATTAATTATGTTTCATGTTTTCTGTTTTATTTTATTTTATTTTAAAAACAAAACTTTTTTTAAGATCTGTATATCTTAGGTTATTTAAGGTCACCGAAATGTTATATTGATTTGATAATCAAACACTTTAACGCTTATTTCCACGCTGTATCTAAGAGTTTAACATTCTTTTATGTTTCGTTTTATCTATAAATTGTTCTAATTTGAATCTTCGAAACTTCTCATTTCTTCTATCTATATAAATCATTGAAATACGAATGCTCAATCTCGGTGTGCTTCATTTAAACAATAAGCTTTCGTGATTATAAATTGAAGTGAACCCACAAATTCATGAATGAATAAGAGAATGAATGAGTAAATAAGTATGGAAGCGAAAAAGTCTTTTTATCATTCCCATAAGAGTAGAAACTGGAAAATTTCGTCTTGAATTGGTTCGTTATTGTTGAATATTCTTTAATATAAAGTTATATTTAGTACTCATAGGAAAATTAAAGTATATTGATTCATTCAATAGGAAATATTATGAAAATGTATATGTAACTAAGCAACAAGATGGTTACCTGTTGGTAATATGTGTTATTTTATTGTAGTAAAGTTACAAGGTAGTTACTTATAATTACTAAAAAATAACCAACCAACCTGTAATATAGAATGAACTATAATTACATTGACTTTTTAAAAAAAAGACTACAATGTATAATTGGAGAACGCTAATCGGCGGCCTATGCTCCATTGGGAGTAACAGGTGTAAGTAGGTAAGTAAGTAAGTAATACTTATTAACTTATAATACAGAATTGTTCACTAGATAAAGTTTTATAATACACTAATAAATCTATTGAAATACTACTTTAATATCATCGGATGTTGGTAAAGCCACATAAGTGATAGTGTTTTGCAATTGTGTGATTATTGATTCAATCAAATATCACAGCATTGGCGGCCTGTTTAAACATCTGGGCTACCTCTTCCTGTCATCTAGATATTTCAACAATTTATCTAATTTCGTTTGTTTTAATACATCATTATGCCTATTAACCGCACAACATATTCAGGTGCGCTTCTGAAAAATGTAAGACTTTTCGCTGTAAAGGTTACAGAAGGCCTAATCAGAGATATCGTGGTTGCTGGTAATATGTAGCGAGAAGAATGTACATTATCCAGATGTCGATTGACCGGGCTACTAACTTCTAACTGGCGATCACTCAATATTTATCGTCAGGAAGGATGAAGAAGTAAGAAACGGGAACTTGTTGAAGTACTTTGTGCTGAGAATTCTATATTGTACCAAAAATATATTATTGAATAAAGCTAATAATGATAATAATAATAAAATGGAGTTAGTAATCAAGGTTAGATACATCTTGTTTGTTATTACAATTGCTACTACGTGTTGATTTGTTATGTGTTAACTTGAGCTAATGTTTATTGCTAGCTATGATCCTATACTGTTTCCGACCAGTGATTACCATACAGTTTCAATTAGATTTTCACAGCTTTCTTATGCTTCTAAACATTTATTACTGATAAACACTTGTGACCACACATTTGAAGCTCTGAACTTTTTGCTTTTTTTCTAAAAAAATGTCATCCGAAAAATTTTCGCGTATCAAGAAAGTCATCAACATAAAAAAGCTTTTTTTTACACAAAGTAATTTAACGACTCATTCAATAATCAACTTCATCTATATCAGAGCTACTGTGGTGTGGTCTACTTATATCCATACAGGTAGTATGTGGTGATGGTCAGACATAGAATGTATTTTGGAAGAAAATCGATAAGGAAAGAACAGGAATGAAGCGCAATTTGTAGGAATATTCATAAACAATGAAATCACAGAAGACTGATATTTGCAGAAGGAGCAGTTGACTGAGACAATTGATTGTTATTTTGCAAATTAACTGTTTACTCTTATCAGAATTTAGTGAAATAGTCTGTAATTTGTGCTTAAATACATTCGATTGTCCCCACTTGTGTTCTGTTCACTACACTACTAAATGGCTTTAGCCTTTATCAAATTAGAAATTATCTTTACGAATTAATAATCTATAATCTGTAGTTCAAAAAATCAGCTACAAACATCAAGTGTTACAACAGCCTCTATATCTGTTCAACATTTGAACTGTTTCTGTGAAGTCAGTTATATTGGGAGTACAACCAGGTTTATTCCTGAGCATTATTCCTCCTACATGATCAAAGGATAGATAAGGAGTGTGAAAAGCTCTGTTTAGTATATTTAGTAGATACAAGCAATCATTTAGATATGAATTTCACATCCAAAGTTATTTATCGAATTCTATCGAACTTGTATCGTGTTCCCAGGATTCGTCTTTTACATGTAACAAAACCGATAAGTATTTATCTATAATCCCATTCATTTTGTACAGAGGACGTTTGTATAGTCTCTTAATTTACCAAAACATTCTACCTAATCACTCCTTAAGTTTCTCAAATTTGAAATTTCATTTTATTTTAATTGATAATTCGAGTTTCTAAATTCTTTAATTCTTATTCGTATTTTTACGTAATGAGTTGCTATAGTCAGCCGATTATGTAAACTTGTCTTTCAATATAATTTCGCATCCATCGAGTTTTACGGTTTCCAGTGTTTGACTTCAGCAATATTAAACAATGATGGTGTCAACCCAATGTAGATTCTGCTTATTTGTTTTTAGGATACATAAGTTTCGTAATGTTAACACTGGATGTCAGAGAAAGAAAAGATTCAGAGATTGTACAAAGCATGAGAGTTCGGAAATAAATCAACTTAAGGGTGAACAAATTTTAATAATTCATGTAAAAAAATAAGAATCGGAGAATACGTATGCGCTACCATACATAAAGTATGTACAGAACATGCACGTAGTTAACAAGGTCAAATGTATGGGTGACAATAAACGGAAAAATTAATATAATTGATCCGTCCAAATGTTAGAATATATCATCCTGACGTGATATAATACTGATTGGAAAACGTTACTGACTACTGGGTATGCGGAAAATAATAAGTTACTTTGTTATACTAATCAACCACTATTTACTTGGCATTAACTTTATCCGTAATTACACTGTGTATGGAGCGTTGAGGTGGAACTAGTTGAAAGGAAATAGTTGACAATTTCTTGAAAGTAAATGTTTAAATCTTGGTACTTTTAAGTCATTTAAATACATACATAACACTCGGAACAAAACATCATAACCTTGAACAGAACTAGCATGGGTATATATATATCTTCCTTTCTTTACCACATCTTACACAATGTAATGCATCTACCAAGTACAAATGTTATGTGCTCAGTTTTTAAGTTAGGATAATGGTTTTACCCCTACTGCTTAGACTTAAGTAAGTGGATATAAGTTCTCTAATCAACGATTTGTAAGCTATAGGTTGAATATTTTTCTATACTATAAAATCAGTTGACATTTTTGTTGTATATGAAGATCGTGCCTTTTATGTTCTCAAAGAGAGATATTTTTAATGAGTACAAATATAGAATTTCATTGTTATCAACATAAATGTTTGCTTGATCTTCTCATACAACTCTCATCAATGTTTTAACATCATTTAAAAAGAGACTCATTGATATTTAAAGAGTGCTGGTTCATCGTTTCATCTTAATTTGAAACTTGACATCACCTACCTTATATGAGTTCGATTAAAGACCCTCAAATTTATTTATATCAAATTCAAACAATCTATTTTAATACACTTTTTTTTAATGTTATTTCTAGTGTTCAACATATTTTTGATCACATAAATCTGACAAAGGATCAATTCTGTCAAACTGATTCAAAAAGTAATTATATTATTGATAATAAACAATTATGGGATGCATTTAATACAAGTTATGCAAATCAAGAAAAAATATTACGACCTTCACATAATGATATAAATATATATCATTTAGATGATGATATGAATAATGGTGATGTTAATGATGATAATGATGAAGAGATCATAGAAGCTCATTATGATAATGTTCATAGTTATCGTAAATGTAATCATTTCTCCGTTGATAAAATGGATAAGAAACGAATTTCAAAAATCTATAGACAACTACATAATTTACGTTGTCAAGTTGAAGTAGGTTGATGTTATATTTGTTGTTTTATATTTGATTTTATACTTACTTGCTTACGACTGTTACTCCCAATAGAGCATAGACCGCCGACCAGCATTCTCCAATCCACCCCGCCTGTAGCTGCTCCGCGGGCTACTGCCGGTCCCAAGCCCGCGTAAAGAAGGAGGGTTGGGCATGGTGTTAGCGACTCCATCCTGTAGAAAACCAACTCGCTAAAAAAACGTTAACCAGAAAAAAATTATCCAAACCATTTGATTTTATAACTAAATTGTAATTTTCCGATTATTTGTACTTTAAGTGGTTTCCAATGATTATTATAAAGGGTTTAAGTGTAGGGTCATGGGCTGCCGAAGAGAATTCCGTACATGGACTAAACATATGTCTAGTGCTTCCTGATATTCAATGGTTGTCTAACAAAGGTCAGTCTATAATACAATCTATGAAATTTTAAATCATGTACTACAGTTACAAAAGGAAATATATGTATATTTGAAGACTTCAGTAGAACACTAAGCTTCATGTTTGATTTTCAAAAGTTTCAGTTCGTTACCTTCAAAGTAGATAGAAATGGAAGTTCAGTCACGTGGTGATAGGGAGTGATAAAAAGATTGACTTCACACATGAGTTAATTCAGTTATATATATTAATTATATTTCTTGATAATAAGTTTAATAATTTGTCAACCTCAGAAAATTTCCGTTACATAATAAATCTCTATGGAATAATAAATAGGTACTAAATGTTAACTGAACGAAAATCACCTTGAACGAATTTATGAACTTTAAGATTGATTTTCCTAATACATTGGGTTTAGGAACTTAACAATCGTAACCGATTTTTTCTGAAATTTTTTACTTATATATTCGTTTAGTCTATTGTAAAGTGGGTGCGCACTGATTAGGAGTCCCACAATAAGACGAAACGGCCGTCCAGTGCTTCCAGGTTTTCCATGGTGGTCTAGTTTCAATTGACTCATGATCTCAACTATATAATATTATAAAGTATTTGATTGTTTGAGTCTTTTATCGATGTTTAAGACTGCAATTGATCAGTCTCATATTGGCATATATGCATCTTGTGTAGAATACATCGATATTGCCTGAATTCACAAGTTAGTCCTAGAGTGAACATCAACTCTGGGGTTCAGGTACATTCACCTGACGAGTATCAAATAAGATGAAACGTGCGTCCTGGATTCCACTACTGATCACCATCCATCTTTACGTATAATAAATTATGTTTTATTTTTCTCAGAAACTCATTTTTAGGGATGATTATACAGATCAAATCTTCCAGCTATTATACTGTCATTTGATGTCGGTTAGGCAGCAAAATATACTCACGTTTTTTATTTTAGATAATGTTTATTTACTTTTGATGATGTCGTTTTTATGTATAATAATATGGTCATTGTTTACAAACTTTTGTTTTCTCAGTCGTTCTCCTATCTAAGTTGGCTTGGATTAACCGCAGAACAACCCCCAACACAAAAAGTTCTAGTTCCTGGTTTTAATGCACCAGCTCCAAATCCTCAAATGCACTTGATTCGTCGATCTGATGCAGATAGTCGAAGAAATATACAAGAATTTAAACTTCTATGGTAAATTAATATTCATCGTTTGTCATATATATTATATTTTGGAAAGAAAGTTGCATGTTAACAGCACTTTATTGACATCATTCATAATTGGGTACATGATACTCGGTTAGATTATCGTGTCCTCTGGTATCAGTTGATAAATCAGGATTCTCATGTTGATAATTTCACCTAGTTGAGTTATTACAATCACTGGCTAGACAAATAAAGAACCCTACTTTTCTCAATTTAAATTTAGAATTAATTTAATCAGAACATGTCATTACTTCATGAAGTCATTTATTGTACTAGTATTGTGGTGCAGTCTACTTATATCCATATAAGTAGTATATGGTGTTGGTCAGACATAGAATGTATTTTGGCAGAAGACCGATGAGGAAAGAACTGAAATGAAGCGCAATCGTTTGGAAAATGCATGAGCAATGAAATTAAAGAAGAAACAGTGAAGATTGAAACAATTGGTTGTTAATTTGCAAATTGACTGTTCATTGTTCGGTTATCAGAATTTACCGAGATAATCTGTAATGTTTGCTTAAATTACATTTGTTTGTCCCCTGTAGTGTTCTGTTCACAACAGTATGACCCCATGTTGATACATGCAGGCTATCTAGTTACAATCCATTCGATATCCATGATAAGTGGTTGAGGACTTTAGGTGACATGGATCAGGATCATCCAAAAAGGAGCAGATACCTTCAAATTTTTATATTTTCCAACCTCATTCACATCGCCTTATCTCTCTCATTTCGATCACTATTACATTATATTGATTCTTTTTTACAATCAATCTTGTTAATTTCATTTTGTCACGGTGACATAATATGATAATTTAGGCTAATGAGGATATAAACCAAGCTCCATATCTGTTTACATCCAAAGATTCTAATAATTATTTTGTATTAAAATATAGTAATCACTTGTTGAATATGGATAAGTAATTTGTAAATTATATTTTTATGAAATGATGAATACAGTCAAATTGTTTTTCATCTGTAATTACAATTTACCTATGTATGTCATAAAGATGTAAATACGTAATAGCATTTGATGATATCTCCATTTAATATCATTTATTGTTTTGAAGTTAACAGTTCTTAGCATATTATATGCAATATTTTGAACCAGTCCTGTATTGTAAATTCACTTGAAGTTGTTTACTTGTATCTTCCCACTGTTATTTAGGACTGCAATTGATCAGTCTCTTGTTGGAAAATGTGCTATTAGAACTCAGTAGCTAAGTGGATAATGCGATGGCGTTTGAAGCGAAAGGTACTGGGTTCGAGTCCTAGAGTGAACATCAACTCTGAGATGCAGGTACATCCAGCTAACGAGTCATAAATAGGACGAAACGCCCGTCCTAGATTCCACTGCTAGCCATTATTCATCGGTCCTGAATCGACTCTACTTTAATAATCGTTTTTTCTAAAGAAGACGATAAATAAAGAAAACCAATCATTGTAGTGGTGAAACTTCATCTTTTCAGTAATTAACTATGCAATCTAGACTGTAGACAACTTATAAAGGTTTATGTTTCAGCGCTATTATTATAGACAAATAGTGAGTTAAAAGAAATTTCTATTCTCTTAGTCAAAAGATAAAGAGTTAGCTACAACACATCACTATGAATAGTTACCACTGTTTCATAAATATGTATTTTTATTAGTCGCTTACATTATCGATGTATCTAGTCATTTCTTTATATACTATTCTTGTAACAATCTATATTTAACTATTTATTCTCTAAAGAATATGTCTGAACTATGCCGTGAAATGTCAGAAATTCATTTTTTTTGTGTGTGGGTTTTTTTGCTCATTGGGAAATGATTAAATATATATATTTCTATCTTTATTATTCTAAATACATTCTCTGTTTTGTTTAAATGTACTAACATCACATGTAGGAAACGGGAAAAAAGCGACCCCCCTCCTCCGTCATTTGTTCTTGGTTAATTTTTTCACTATTATATCTTTGCTTACTTCTCATTTAGTCATATGAACTAATTACTTTGATGAAAGAAAACGAAGAGTTAAAATAATCAAAGTTTTTTTAAAAAAAATGTAGTATTGTCTTATTATGATGATCTTATAGGACTAGTGTTATGAAAGTATAACTCGTACCGAGAATGTATGTATATATAACATAATTAGTAGGCTCTTGGTTTCTCCGTATTTTCTTTTTTCGTTTGATCCATATGCCGTTGTTATATGTTTTTTTCATCCCAGACATATCATTAATTATTCTCCTATTATCAGAAGGGGGTATTTGTGGGGATTTTAGTAATTTTATATAGTTGAAATCATGAATCAATTGAAGCCAGACCACCATTTCAAACCTGGAAGCACTGGACTAGCGTTTCGTTCTATTGTGGGACTCCCTAGCAGTGCGCATCCACGATCCCGGCTCTAGTGGTCTAGTGGTTAAGCGCTTGCTCGCTCGTGAGACTGATAAGTTCTGGGTTCAAATCTCGCGAGCCGGAATAGTGGATGAGCACTGCTGAGGAGTCCCACGATAGGACGAAACGGTTGTACAGTGCTTCCAGGTTTGGAATGGTGGTCCAGCTTCAATTGACTCGTGATTTGAACCATATATTCTCCTATTACTCTGATTTTGTATCGCTTATGACTAAGTTATGTAGGTATTATAATTTATTAACTGTGTTGGTATGTTGTCAAACTTTTTAATTACATTATTGTATGAAGATCAGACCGATGATTGAGTTGAGTAAAAATCAGTAGTGATCAGAGTACTATCTTATCTTTGGACTGGTCACTGGGTGGAGAATGTGAAGGATAACAAGCGTCAAGCTTTTTTTATTGTTCAGCGGTCGATGTAGATGAACTGATTGAAAATCGGACTAGAGAGAAAAAGAGATTTATATGACTGTTTTCCTGTCATTATCACCTGAATACATGGTATCCCAATGAAACCCAAACATTTAATCTGTACATAACTTTGATATAGATACTAAATTGCATCGTAATGTGATATTCTACAGAGTTTTAAATTTGTTCATGAAACATTAAGTTTATTAGGTCCATCTGATCTCAATTCAGTGTGTGAAAATTACTTTCTCTATACTAGATAAATTAAAAATATGTCATACAACCTGACCATTTGATAAATATAGAACGAACAAAACAACAGAATTAGTAGAGTAAAATGAATTCGTTTTATTTTTAAAAACCTTGTACTCTTCTGTTTTTCATCCAAGGGAGATTAGACTTCAAGAAGTATCATGGTGACATTAGAAAAATCTTTCCTTACACTCAGCTGGTTTGACTATATAACATCAAATATTCATTGTACTATTTCAAGGTACATCAATACTCCAGCAGAATTATTCTCAAAATGAATCTATAAATTTACATGTAACTGAGTGAAAATATATAAGAAGCATGAATAGAATGGTTTATGATGGGTAATTTTTTTCAAATGTTTTCAACCTCACTTTAGTATATAGAAGTAAGGCGTGATTATATTTTCTCAGCCTTGGTGACTGATTGTTAATTGAACAAACGTTTTTTTAATTTTTTAATTTTTTCTGAACCTCTAATTTTCATCTCTTATTGACGTTCATATATTATTCAGTATTTTATTCTTAATCATATTTAATAATTATACACTTGCTCATTGATTTGATTTCATTTACTCAACTTACTCTTATCTTCACTTTGTATTGTTTGTTTGAATCTTCTCATTGATGTTAAGGACTGCAACTGGTCAGTCTCTAATTAGCATATGTGTATACTATGAGTATTGCCCTGATATAGCCTTAATATACGAGCATTATAAGAAAAGATGGATAATGGTTAGCGGTGGAATATAGGACGCGCGTTTCGTCCTATTTGGTACTCGTCGGCTGGATGAATATACATCTCAGAGTTGATGTTCACTCTGGGACTCGAACCCAGTACATTTCACTTCAAACGCCATCGCGTTATCAACTCAGCTACTGAGTCCTGATAGCCACTCTTGGCTTTATTATGATTATAAATAAATCTGGTGTGTGCATTACTGCTTTCCTGTATATAAATACACATCAATCTTATTTGTGTTAAATAATTTCTTTTCTGTCTTGTTCGTCTTATCATTTTTCTTGTTTCGGTTTCAAACATTCATCTCAATTTCACTAATTAAAATATAATAAACATTTGACTCATTTTTGCATTGTTTCTTTAAATTTTCCCACTGACTTTTATGTCTGTAATTGATTAGTCTCATATTAGCTTATGTGCATCCTATGTATATTGCATCGATATTGCCTGAAGTCACAAGTGAGTCCCAGAGTGAACATTAACTCTGAAACTCAGGTACATCCAACTGACGAGTCCCAAATAAAACGAAACGCACTTCCTGTATTCCACTGTTAACCACCACCCATCTTTGCTAAGCCTTTGTTTATGATTCCATTAATCCTTATAATTTTGGTCTGATGCGAAGTCATAAAATATAGGGAATTTAGTTTACTACCCATACTTCTTGTTCTATTTAAGTTATAGTCACTTTTTCTTGTGATTGTATTGTAATGAAATATAGCTGGTTCTATATATTATTTGTATTAAACTAATATTTATTAAAATTTAAGTTAGACACAGGGTATTAGGGAATGATGGTAAATCACTTTATGAGGTCATGAATTTTCATCGACTGAGATGGTTAGGCAACGTGTTACGTGTACCTGAACGCCGATTACCACGACGAGCTATGCTGACTAGTATTGAGGATGGTTGAAAGAGAGTTAGGGGCGGCCAAACCAAGACGTGACATCAGCACTTGAAGTCACTAACTTCTCGTCTGAGCCATGTTGGTACATGCAGTGATTCGGTTGGGGTCCGGGGGACTATCGTAACCAATAGTTGGAGACTCTGGTTGACATACCTCAGAATCGATCACAATGGCGCAGGTGTATACTCTCTTTATCTTTCCCTAAACCGTGAGATTAAAATTGATACATATCTGTCTTCTTTCCTATACTATATCCTTATATACAACCTTCCTTTTATATAAAACCACCACTAAATTAACTACTGTTAATTCGGTGTTTATCTAGTTGTGCCAGCGAGGTATGGCAACTTGGACTGATGCATATATGTGCGCGGTCCTACGTTGTAGCTGATTGACTGACTGAATAAAATCTGAGTTTGAGTTATTGTATAATCAAGTTTTTGCTCATTGTTCACGTAAGTACTCTCAAAAATTATTATACTGAACGTTATTTGTGAAGTAAACATGAAACTTGATTAAAAGTTTGTAAGTAATTAAATAGCTACTAATTCAAACAACGTAATTCTACAGGCTTTCTGTGACAATATCCATTTCTATTTGTCACGCAATTCAGTCCCCGACCATGTCTATTAAAAGTGTTTCAAAATAATGAATAAATCGATGTAAGGTTTTACTTGATAAAATTATTCGGTTTAGGTTTACTTTGTTTAATCTAGTTAGCATTTTTGTCTAGGTTTTTTCTACGGGATGGGGTCGCCTACCGCATACCCAACCCTCCTTCTTTTACCCAGGCTTGAAACCGGCAATAGCCCTAGAAGAGCTACAGGCGGAGTTACTTCAGTTTAGAGGATTAGCGACTTTTGAAACTCCACCTCCAAAAACTAAAACATAACAGTATATCCAGCCCTCTTTAATTATCAATGGTTGAGTGATAACATATCTTCCCTTAAATGTGATCTCCACAAAAATCTTTTGATAAAATGATGATTAATAATAATAGTATACTTATTACTGATCAGCCTAGAAATAAATGTGTTTATATGAATTCAGCTAATTTGTGAGTAAGAAAACCATTTCTTGATGTACCTCAATAATGATCCTATCTCATCAATCCAATGTACAAACTAACTTGAAATTAGGTTTGATATTAACACGGTTGAATGCAGGTTCAGTGGTCTATCGGTTAAGTGCTCTGGCACGAGACTGGTAGGTCCTGGGTTTGAATCTCGCAAGCACGGAATCGTGGATGCTCACTGCTGAGAAGTCCCACAATAAGACGAAACGGCCATCCAGTGTTTCCAGGTTTTCCATAGTGGTCTAGCTTCAATTGACTCATGATCTCAACTATATACATTTACTAAAATCTCCACGAAACCTCCTTCGGAAAACGTATGAAGATATATGTGCACATATTTCTATGACCAAAAATTATTCTTTTATCAACCTATTCTGTCACTTTATTGCACAAATATTTATGAACTATTTCCTTGTCAATACATTTTTTATATCATATATAGTAAAGAACCTGTATCTAAAGAAGATTTAATTGAATTACGCTCATCTACTTTTAATAATTGGTCTAGAACAGATGCTCAATTAATACGTTTAGTTCGGGAAATGTTTCAAGAACTTGGATTTATTGAGCATTACAATATACAATTACATCAATTAGATTTATGGCTTACTGATATTTATAGACGTTATAATCGTGTTCCATTTCATAATTATAAACATGCATTTATGGTGACACAAATGGTAAGTTAAATTTTTAAAAAATCATCATTTTCTTTTGTCTTGACTTGGTTGGGACTAGCTTTCTTTAAGTCTTACACTCCATGCTAGCAACTGTACTATGTTTGAATATTCTGTGACTTGATATAAATACTTCATATTTTTGGCACCTGAGTCAAGTTCGGCACTACAAACTTAATTGTCTAACTGTACTTAATTGATTTTTCACAATCGTGTATCATCAAATACATGAAACATGGATATGTCTTTTGCCTTTAAAGTTTATAACCCAGGTTTGAATATTGGCAGTGACATTCCAACATTAAGAATGCTGAATGGATTATTTCACAGTCTACTTGCGATTCTATAAACTAATCTATGTCTTGCTTGCTCACCGATTAACCAAATTGTTAAATATTAAACAGCGTCCTTCTATCTATGCTAACATTTCGTTAACCACCAACTCTCAATAAGCTTGGTAAAACAACCATAAGTAGATCTTTCAAGAAGTATAATTATTTTAATGTCTGTGGTCAGATCATGCATTGAGTTAGAACAGTTTTGAGTTAGCCTTTCATATTTTGACCAACCATCTAATTTATATGTACATTTATATTAGGTGTTTCTTAAAATAGACTTAATTTACTTTTTGTTCAATCATTTCATTTGTTTTCTGTAGTAGTTTATTCTTAATGTTAAGTTCATCACTACTAATGATATTATATTGTTTCACCTCCCATGTTTTTAATCTGAATAATTGTCCCTATTGTTGTTGCGATTCCTGTGATGAGGTGAAATATAACGAAGTGAATCAATTCATGGTTGTAGTACAGCTTATACTGTTAATAGTCGACTGAATAATATAAATTACTTACACTCTTGCAAAGCGTTTATTCTGAACATTATATGCACATATGCCTAAAGGAATCTCAAATTCTCTCTCGTATCACTCCAAAAGCTGAGTACAGTTTCAGTCTGATTTCGCTAAAGTGATATATATATATATATATATATATATTTATATAACGTAAATGACTATCTAAATACTGTTTAATTTCTTTGTTTCAGTGCTATGTTTTAATCTGGGGTGGAAATTTGACCAATCTACTTGACATAGATGATCAACTTATTTTGATTGTATCGGCCATCTGTCATGATTTAGATCATCCAGGATTCAATAATGCTTATCAGGTAGGTCCTAAAGTAAGACAGAAAAAAAATATATATATAAGGAGAACAGCAGTTACTGAAAACTGATCAAGAGAAAGACAGAAAAAGTAAACTGTTCAAAGCTAAAAATAGGTTTTGAAAACATAATACATAATAAAGAAAACTTTTGATAATTTTTGTTTCTCTACCTCCCCCTCTCCCTCTCTCTTATTTTAAGTTATTTTTACCCTATTTTAGCAATCAGATAATAATTATTTTATACCTAACTAAATACCATGATATTCATTGAATCCATCTTTTATCACCACATAAATACAGTATATCTTTACTACAATATGTAAAGTTATTTTCAAGGAAATTATTATTGATGTACTACGGGATAGACTGACTAGAGCAAGGAAGAGAACGTTTAATGCAGCTGACCTCTGTCTATCGTACTCGACCCGACCCCAACTAAAAGATAAGTTACCTGGTTACGCCACTTCTATGTGTATCTATGAATTCAGCTGCTCCTGTGGAGAAAGTTATATTGGGCGCACTACCAGGCAACTGAATCAAAGAGTTAGTGGTTACCTCCCTTCATGGTTGGGAAAAGGTATGGTCAAGTCGATACGGAGCTCGGTTCTTTCACACTTGATAGATCGCAGTCATAAAGTTGACAGAAATCAGGCATTTAATGTTATTTATCGTATTCCTAATAGTTTTCCTTATGGGGTTCGATCTCGTCTCTTACACATAGCAGAAGCTATAGGAATTCGATCCAACGATACAAGTTTTTGTGTTCATAAGAAATTTGTAACACCCTTATCTCTCCCTTGGCCTTAATAAATAATTTTATTTTCCATACTCTTTTTTCGTTTATTTTTCTTCACTCCTCTACCAATTATTTATTTATTTTTTCAAATATTCGCTTCACGTTCCAATTATCTGAACACTTATTACGTAATCTTATAATTTTATGATTGTCATTTCAGTGTCTATATTTTTCTAATCATTGACCTATTTTCCTATTATGTAACATTGATTCAATCCTTTTATTATTCTTATCACAACTAGTACACCTGTCATTACACTACCAATTGTACTTTCTACTTATTATTAATTTTGATTATGTAATCTATTCCACTGTTATCATTGACTCATAAACTGCCTTGATTGGTTTAATAATATCGTATATGCATATAAATATTACTGTATATTAAAGCCCGATGAAGATTTAATCGAAAACAATATTGTTCGCTTATATATGTTGTTCTAAACTATTATTGGAACAACATTCAATATTTACATGTCTTTAAGTTAACTTAATCTGACAAACACTGAAAATGGACAAATTGAGTTGTAATTTTATATAATTATTCCTAATTGAGTGAATATCTGGGCTACCTGTTACAGCCATCTAGATATTTCAGCAAGTTATCTGTTTTTGTTTAACATATCATTAAGTTTATTAATCGCATAATCTATGAAAAGTTCACGACCTTTCGCTGTACAAGTTACAAAAAAGTACGGTCAGAAACATCGTGGTAGCCGGCAATATGAATTAAAACGAATAAACATTATTTAGATGTCGATTCCTAAACTGTTAACATTTTGTAGTGTCGGTTACTATATTAAACCTATTCTAGCTTCTGGATAGTTCAGTTTATTCATTCTTCTTAAATCACATTTGGACCTTATCAATTATTCACTTATCAACCTTGACTGTTTTCTTATAAGCGCATTAGTGTGTACTTCTTATACCATTCATCACATGTCTGTAACTTATTTTCATCTGACTATACATATTCATTAACGCTTGATTAAATAAAATTGGCTTACGTGCCTCCTCCACTGCGCGCCGTTGCGTTTTTCACTTTCTTCTTCACTTCCTTCGCTAGGTCTGTCTGATTATCTGTCCCGACTAATGATTGTACAAAATATACGTATTCGAAATCCATCTTCATGTCTGACTTATTTAAATTTCGTTATCCACTAACGCGAGTTAGGTCGATGATTATATAAGAGGATTGGCGATATGTATATCTCAATAGCAATCAGAAACCGTCCAACTGGAGCCAGACCACGGGCTACAAAAATCTAACTAGTGACCATTTAATATTTATCGTCAAGATTGATCATGAAATGACAAATGGAAACTTGCTGATAATTCTATATTGTACCAAAAGTATAATATTGAATAAAGCAATTAGTAATAACAATAATTTTAGTTGATACGTCATATTGAATGTGAAATCCTCAAAAATGTGAAAATGCGGGAACAGTCTAGGTTTTTTCCCTAAAAAAACACTGACACATCTAATAATTGCCCATCTGATTCTCATTTAATCTCAGTTGTTGTTTCCCATACACAAACACACACTCTTTTTCCCATTGTTTTCACATCCGGAAACATACTGAGTTTTATTGAAATCGATAGCCGATTTAAATAATAAAACCATTGGAAATCTGGAAGAACTGGAGAGCTATTTAGTCTTAGCATAGGCTTTCCTAGCATTTTACATTCACAACCCCATTAGAGAGAAATAATGATAGAACCTTCGATCTCTTACACAAATTCTTTACTTCTATGCTGTTGAACCGTAGTGTAATTCTGCAGATGTCTTTTATAACGAAACGTATAATTTAGAAAATTGGAATTGGTTTTTCGGACTATTAATAATGGTTTTTGTGTTGTATAATTACTGAGTAGCTTGTTGTGTCTAGTACCATGTCAAACCGACATTGGTTATTTTAGCTTCCAGACGGACCAATTTATTCATTCTTCTTGAGTCACCTTGAAAGTTATTCGTTTATAAACTTGACTGTTTTTATATGAGCGTGTAAGTTAATCCCTTACCCCAATCACCACATATCTGTAAAATATTTTTGTCTGACTACAAATATCGAGTCAAGCTTGGTTAAATTGAGCTGGTTTCCCTTACCTTCTCCACTGTGCGTCATTTTGTTTTGCATCACTATCTCCTTTTCGCTTTCTCCGCTTCGTTTCTTTGATCGTCTTTCTAGGTCAACGATTGTACGAAATATGCATATTCGAAATCCATCTTCGTATTTGACTTATTTAATTCCGTTATTCACTAACGCTAGAGAAGTCGATGATCATAAACGAGTGTAGTGTTTTGATGACAATCATAATACGATTTAATTGGAGTCAGATAAAGAGCCACGCTAAAAACTGGATTACTTTGTGTATGTACTCCATTTATTGTGAGATTTAGGTTAACTCACTAACTACGGTTACATTATTTACTTTTTTTATTTTGTTGTCAGTCTGTTTCAGATGTTTGACTTAGATTGGTTCGTGATGTCAATGAGTAAAATTTATTTCATTAAGACCATTAGTGGATCGGTGATAGACCACCATTGAAAACTTGAAATTACTGGTTGGCTGTCTCATTGTGGTCTCGGACTCCTCTGTAGTCCGAATCTACGATCCCATACTGTGCACTTAAATCCGAAAGCTTCTGTCTCTCGCACGAACACTTAATCTTTAGTCCACTGAGCTGGAATTGAACGGTGTTAATGACTGACTTCAACTCACTCATGATATTGCACGATCATCCATCATCTGCTGCGGTAGGTAACTGCTACACTCTCAATACAGTTGAACTCCAGAGGTCATCGCTTCTCACTAGAACTTCGAACATTACCTTTCAAAGCTAATCACTATTTCGTATATGGTAGTCCTATACTAGGATGAAACAGACTTATAATGTCTTAAGGTTTTCAATGGTAGTCTAACACTGGTCAGTTCATGGTTTCTATGAGACTCAAAAATCTCCGCAACCTTATTCCCTATGAGATTTATTTCTTAGAATAAGAATTACAAAATCAATCTGACGCCATTTTTCGTAGGTTTAATTGATGTCGTATCATTTAATTATTGAATATCTAAACATTAAAACAAACCATCGTGTTATATTCACTTCAGTGGTTAGTTGTTTGATAGATGATAAATCCTTAAGTACTATTTATGAATAAGAAATCAAATGTATTGAAATAAATTCGATATCCTTATATTTTTGTCCAGTTTGTATTCTTAAATCTCCAGTAATTTTATATCCATTCAGTATAATATTGGTTTGTGTTAATTTTAAGAAAATTTTGTCTGTTGTGACACAACCATTGGGTCGAAACCTGTATATGAATGAAGATATTCGAATGATCAATAATTTTCTTGGGTCTCTATTAATAGATTGTCTAGATAGGCTTGAAGTCCTGTTCCTAGTTAAAGGGAAAAAAAGAAGTCTGTGTTAGAAATTATTCATCCAGTGCGAAAACAAATCACTAGTGTAGATTTAGATACCTAAATGTCTAATCTTAGTCAAGTTGAAACAAAGTGTTATTCTAGGAAGTTACTAACTTTAGGATCGAGTAGTGTAATAAGAAGAAAACATCCATATTCTAGTTGGGCAAATGACGGTTACTTATGGTTGTTGATTACAACTGGTTACTCGTAATTTGATTTATCCATCTCTAAATCTTTCGTTTAGTTTCTACAACAAACTTCTCACTTCTTGATATCCTCCATTATTTTCATAGTACATTCTTTATGTTTAGTTATTTTACCACTATTAGTAAAGCGAAAAATAATACACTCTAGATAGAACTGTCCAATATCGTTTTAACCATATTGAATAAGAAATTAATTTTAAAACTGTTCAAATCAAATTATTTAAGCTTATAACTAAGCAAAAGGAAGTTGATGACTAACTACTTCTCACCTCCATTTTTATTTCCATGGTGATCGTTTTCTTTTGCAGTAACAATTTTGCAAGGAAGATAAGAAAGCAAGTTTTAGCTAAAGTTTATTACTTATTTCTTAATTGTAATTTAAGTTATAGTTAAGTGGTGTCACACTGAACTGAATTTGGTTTCTTGTGAAAGATAGTAAATTCAGTTGTTTTTTTTATTTCTAAAAACTATTCCTTTAAAAGATGGGTTAGGGTTACTTGTATGTGAACGTTTAAGAACATTGACAATAACAGACCACAAACCGACTAAAATTAGGTAACAATTAAAAACTAAGAAGCATTGAACAGCCGTTTTGTTCTGGTATGAGACTTTTAGCTTAAAGGTTAGACTCTCACTGTGAGACCTGAATGGTATTGGTTATATCCTTAATATGGTTGTGAATGTCCATTGTTGAGGAGTCCCATATCAAGATGAAACACCTGCCCAACTCCTCCATGTTTCCACTGACTTTTTAACGTTGGTTAGTTTGTTATCTTAGTAATATTCTATAATTTCCATAAAGGCTTTATTATTGGGTAATCCACAAATATCCTTTTTCAAAGTCCCTGGAGGCCCAGAAAACACCAAGGAGTGCTTCATTCGCTTGGCGTTGAATAGAAGCTTCTCAGAAACACCTAGAAAATAATTAATCACTTGTCATATTTTTGACTGGATATTCACATATACCTTTACTATGTGTAGTGTGTTTCCGGAAATTTATAGAATCTTGAGGCTACGTTTAACGCTATAAATAAATACCCTCCATTTCCCTCCCACAAACTAATCTTGCAGTGAAGCTCTTACTCGCATTTTGACCTTTTTTTCTATTGTACGGTTTGTTGTGCAGAAGCAGCCGGGACCATAGGAAGAGACTATAAAGTTAGTAATAAGTGTTCCAGTAGCAAACTTATCACATATATTGACAACAGTAGAAATACTTCATCGGAGAGGAATCACTGTGCATACAAATCAAGCAAAAGACAAATTTTTTTAAAATCACAGATTAAATTGTTCATGTGTGTAGAAATAATAAATATTTAAGCTGAACAAAGGTATTTTGTTAAATACTATGAGCATGAGAATATTTTATGGAGGTCAGTTCAGGTAGCCAAATGATTCCTCAAATTTTAGATACAGTGCTCCAATCTTTAATAAGAATATAAATTATTATTATTCTCTCAACATCGTAATTTAGTGAGTGAATAATGTTGGCTTTATAGTCCATTTGAGCTAGGCGAAGCAATATCGAACTGTTTATGATTTTAAGTACATATTTGTTTAGCCTCCAAATGGTTGGTAGAAATTAGTCTTGTTTTATAGTTCTGATGGAGAAGCATTAAAACGTTCTAAGTAAACGGCAATTTCGTTCTGGTTAAATACAGCTCTATAAGCTCATTTACAACCCTACATGAGACTAAGCTTTTAGGTCTACCACTAGACCCGATACTGCTTATCAGTTATTCGAAATTCCGGTGATCTTGGTTTCCGATTCCCACTAGTTCTTAGCGAAAACATCTTTGTCAAACTAACTATCATTGATTTCTTCCTAAGTTGAGTGACTTTTGGACGCTATCTTAATTTGAAATAAACTTTTTTATGGACTGAAGGTAGTTGTGAAATTTGAAGGTTCAAGGTTCGGTTTTTGACAATGTCATAAATGTGTTTTACTGAAGAATTCCTGAATAGAACGAAACATTTGTACATTTATAGAAGGGGTTTTGTAGAGATTTAGTATTTATTATAATTGGAAGCGTGTGTTAAGGCCGTTTCGTCCTATTATGGGACTACTCAGCAGTGGGCATCCACGAACCCGCTCTCGCGAGAGCGATTCCCATAATAGGATGAAACGGCCGTCCAGTGTTTCCAGGTTTTCCATGGTGGTCTAGCTTCAATTGACTCACGCTTTCAACTATAATAAATTTGTACATATTTTTTTAGCTTGCAATACTCCATAATTTGTTTGTCTTTTCTTTCATCAGATCAATGCTGGAACCGTGTTAGCGATGAGATACAATGATCAAAGTCCATTAGAAAATCATCATACGGCTGTCGCATTTGATCTATTGAGTCATAAAGAAGTCGATCCGTTCTCACATCTTTCGACTACTACAAGACAACGAATTCGCAAAGGAGTGATTAGGCAAGATTATTTTAAACAATGATTTAGTTTGACAGTCTTGATTCTTTTTATTTTCTCTTCTTAAAGAATAAGCACTAATTATGGATTTCAAGTTAGTTGTTTTATCATTTATGCGTAAAATCATCCTTAAAATATGAAACCTAAATTGACAATTCGACGCTTATTAAAAAGCAAATTAATCTTCAAAAGTTCCGGGTATTGAAATTCGCACATGTTAGGAGGTGGATCAAACGTAACGCCTTATTATAATTCAGTATGATATTTAGTTCGATTAAGCACTCCTTTGCATAACATTCGTTACAGAAATTTATAACAATTATAGCACCATATGATTTACTACCACAATAGTGGCACCTACAAGTTATTATTATTTAATTAAACTGCACGATCTCGTTACTTAAAATATTGAAGTAACCTTAGTATCATGATATTCAATGTAGTGTTTTAGCCTATTTTATTCTAATACAGATAGAAGTTTCAATCTAAAGTATGCTTATTTATCATGAAAGTCACAACCATCGCTATTCGATAACTAACTATATGATCATTCAGTATGGCTGAACAACTGGTTAGCAATAACATATTCCTAATCAATTAAATATTTTAATTATTTCGAAATGAGGAGATAAAAAAGGTATGATTAGTATGATACATAACCTGTGTCGATCATTATAAACTCGTTTAATTTAACGCTGTGGGATGTCATTAGGTTTTATAGATCACTTATGTCGGTAGTGGTGAGTCTACTCGAGTTGAACGTTCATGGTATGATCTCCTAGCTTACACTAAAATTACATTTCGTGGTTACTACTCTATCTGGATTACCTTATCGTGATGCGGTTGATGTAGTACCTGCACGTAACAAATAGAATCTTACCAAAGCATATTTTGAATCAGTAAGAATAAATTAGAGAGTTACAGAGTAAGAACACTTATGTATGGATTGGTCCATGGCATGTAATTGACTATCTCACGTTAGTCGTCCTAGATCATGAAAATGTTTGATAAATTATCCAATATTTAGTAATCCATAGTTTAACGATTCGGTTTCACGGGTAATTTGGCTAAGGCTAAGTGATGTTCCACTAACCCTGCAGTTTTCTGTTTGTTATGACGAACAAAAGGTCGTATTTGTATGAGGCCGATGATTGAAGATTTTTGAGATATTCTACCTAATACAATAGTCATTTGCATATCTCTCTAAATGTTGATTACTTAGTACATAGTTATGAGATATTCGATTCCAATACCTGTAACGTTTAGGTTTCTTTTAAATTTCATTCAATACCCGTGAGTTATTAATCTAGAGGAAAGTTTCATCACGAAACTTACATTTGAAAGAAAGCGTCGGAAAAGCCTTGGAGCAATGAACTATTTTTCTTTCGTAACTAAAAAGGTCATGACAATTGTATTTTAAGACATCTGCACTAGATCAAATCATGACTCTTCAGATGTAGTAGTATTTATCATCATTGAATTACTCAATCGGAGGCTTACGCTTACTGATAGAGCGTAACGTATAAGTTGAAAAGCCACCAACCCTGACGAAACCTCGGCAAAGATTCAGCAACCTGATGTGGCTTCTGACAACTTTCTTCAGTTATATTACAGATGAGAAGACGAGGAAACAACTCGAGACCTTCGATCTCACCCTTGAACACCTAAGCTCTAGACTTGTTCATCAGTAGATGCTGGCTCAGTTATCTGAAAGTTTAGCCTTTGCGTGCGAAACCGAATGTCCTGTGATCGGTTCCCTCTTTAAGGGTTGCAGACGGGCACTGCTGAGGAATCTCATACTAGGACGTTATGACCGTCTAGTGCTTCCAGGTTACCAGTGATCGTGTAATTTTGATCATTTGGTGATTTCAATATGTTTAAAGTGACTTTTCTTGGTGAACAACTGAAGTTGACATCAGAACTGATGGAAATAACGCATCACTTGATCGAATCACATTTGTCTTTCCTTAACTGAGTAAAATACGTTTTTTTGTATTTCACAGATGTATATTGGCTACAGATATGTCACGTCATAATGAAATATTAGATGAATTTAATCGTCAAGTTTTGACTGATTTAAATGCTGCATGGGAAATTGATCCAAATACAAAAAAACCTACATGGGTTATGAATAAAACACAAAAAGATCTTGTTATGGTAATTATTTTGAAAATATCTGATATATCCAATGAAGCACGTCCTTTAAATGTTGCTGGTCCATGGATCAATCGATTATTAGCAGAATTTTTTCATCAAGTAAATTTAATTATTATCAAATTATAAATGCCGTACGATTTTCTTCATTTTCATGGTGTTTCTTCAAAGGTTTCATCCAATCAATTTCACCAAGGAAATGTTTTCCATAATCTCATTTATTTATTTAAACACATAAATATTGGTACAAAGGGGCACTTGATATATATGCGCCGCACAAGCCATTTGATTTGTGTGAGGACTGTGATACTGCCCAGGTGCCCAAACTGAAGCAGGTGGTTTTACTTGGGGGCCACATCTTGGGCACTTTACCTAAAGGTCTGATCCAAAAGGCAGTGGAGCATCGTGAGGAGATGCAGTTCCATGGTAGGCGGTGACCAACGAACGATTTATACGCCATTTGTTCCTTCAGGATACTGGAGCCCATGTGCACCATTGTTTTGGAATCAGGGTTTTCCAATTCCCTTTGATGGACCCTCCGTGTCCACCAACCCGGTTAAAGCGCCAGACATTCGCTTTTCGTCCTTTTAATTTTGTTAACAACAACCGTGGCACGAGAAGGTAGTGAGTAAGACTTCCCTGGCAGAGGCTATATACACATGGCCATCTAAGAGCATTTGAAGAGGGAAAGCGGACTCCACGCACTCTCGGCCGTACCAGGGCATTTGGGGGTTTCGACGAATAACTCATTTCCTTTGACAAGTTATTACATTATTTATATGTTCATGAATAAATTATAGTCAGTTCGTTTTCATTTACATAAAAACTGAGATTTTAGACATTGATTAAAACTTTTGGTTATGGAATTTAATATCATTTAAAGTGATCGTTCTATCGTTATTTCGAAAGTGTGTATCCACAATCTTATATATATATATATATATATATATATATATATATATACACTGATCTATCGGAGTATTTTTTTAGCAATATTTCTGATTTCTAATGACGCTTTCAAAGAATTACTGAGGTTATCTAATAATTTCCTATTTGAACCATCTTATCATAGTGTAATAGTAAATTACTTCCCCAAATTTGTGACCCTTCTCAGTGAGTCAGTAGATATTTAAACAGTACATAATTAAGCTAAACATTGTATCGTGTGAAGAAATATCCACTGAAAACAATGGAAAATGGTGACGTCCGATTAAAATTAGACTTGTATACCATTCGATGTCATTCAACGCTTCCAGGTTTTCAATGGTTTTATGACCGACTTATAGTCGATTTGAAATTTAATTGTCTCAGTTTCTTTATAACTACATAACTAAGGATTATCGATTATGTTACAGACAATAATACTGTACTCTGATTTTATCTACGTATCACTTATTTAGAATAAAAGAAAATAACGTGATTTTCTCAGTATTAATATATTCTTCATAAGTAATCTTTAAGTGTAGTTATTTTGAGAATACAAGTAATCAAGTACAGATTTATGTAATCACTTTCGCGTCATACGTTTGATATACGGATATTTGATACTGTCCCAATGTATACACCGATATAGATGGAACAGCATTTGAGTTTATCGGTCAATCGATCACTCAGTTAGTCAATAGCTAAGAGTTAACCACTTTAATATTCTTACATGCTACTGATTCATTCAATTTTTAAACAATGGAATAAACACTATTACATTCGTGTAGTAACTATGTTACTGTGTTCTTTTTTTCACTTGTGATTTATTACCATTTAAAAGATTTCTTTGGTCCAATTTTTTTTATAATTAATATTTCCAGGTAATCATTCATAGTTGTTGTGGATTGCATTCTTTAAAAACAACTATATCATATTATATTAATGAAATGTTTTTATAGTTGGTTCTCTTAGTAAAATGTTACAAATCGATACAATTCATAATTAATTTATCGTTGGTGTATAAGATTGAGATATATGCACCATGTCCTCATATGATCACTAACAGACTGAATAGATTGATTATCTGATAATTCAATGTTTTATAGATAAACATAAGTTTTACTTAAATTTACTTGGTATTTCACAATCAAGTGGCTTTCAGGACTCAGTAGCTAACTGGATAACGTGATAGCGTTTGAAGTGAATGGTACTGGGTTCGAATCCCAAAGTGAACATCAACTCTGTGATGCAGGTACGTCTACCTGACGAGTCCCAAATAGGACGAGACGCGCGTCCTGGATTCCACTGCTAGCCACTATCCAACTTTGCTAATAATACGTTTTAGTACCGGTCCATAAGCGGATCCCAAAGTTACCATTCATTATTCTTGCCAGGACACAACAGATTTTGCATTTGTAAAATCCCACTTATTTTTAGTTATTTCTTATATCTTTATGTATTTACTCATAGTTGTTTGTGATATCACTTTATTTAATTCCTCTGATAGATTTAATTATTGTGACACAAACATAATAGTTAGCTTATTGCATTCACATTATAATCTAATGTTAGCTTACTAGTTTCATATCCTTACCTCATTTGCAAATATAAGGTAGAGGTTAGACACCGTTTTCAAATTCTTATTTACGCTATATTATCTAGTATAAAAGTATTTTTATTACGTCGTTATGTTAATTTACCGTTTCTATTTCCTCATTTAAACTACTACTTTTAAATCCTTCATCATTCTTCCAATTTTCAATTCCTGCCTGTTCTCCTTTTCGTTTTCTTCAGTTGAATCTACTTTACCTTCTCTTGATATGTATGTTCTTTTCTTTTCTTTTTTTGGTAAGAAAATCTTGTTGAAATACCTTGTGATGAGAATTCTATATGGTGCCAAAATATTATATTGAATAAAGCCGTCAATAATAAATAGTATACACCATATGTATATCAATGTACAGATTGACAATAAATTCATTTCATACACATAGTTCCCTTTATCATTTTGAAAAGAGCAAGAACAATGATTCTATCAAAATAGTATGAATTCATTTTATTTCGTCGGTTCTCGTTAGCTGCTTACAACCTGTGATGTTTATAAACATAATTACATAATGGGTTTAAATTACTTACATGCAAGTATTTAGTTGACAGTTATGTTGAAGACATATTAGTACAGCAAGGATGTAAATAAATTTAATGGACTGAATATTTGTAAATATATACCTTATGTGAAAGAGCATTTTTCAACATTGATTGTGAAAACAGTTCAAACGGCCAGAAACAAGTGAGTAAAAGCTAATAGGAATTAAATGAGTAAAGCTCAATTAAATTCAGAAGGGGTTTTGTGGAGATTTCAGTAGTTTCATAGTTGAAATCATTAGTCTATTGAAGCTAGACCAGTTTCGTCCTATTATGGGACTCCTCAGCGGTGCCCATCCACGATCCCACCTCGCGAGATTCAAACCCAGGACCTACCAGTCTCGCGCCAGAGCACTTAACCGAGGAGATCCCTTTGCTTAATTACATGTTGTTTCTTTTTTAATTTACAATAAACAATTAGTCTCATTTCTTAATAAACAACATTCTGCAAATAGAAATATGACACTTTTTGTTTTGTTTCTTTAACATTTTACTTTATAGAGTGATTATGAAAAACTTGTTGGTCTTCCAGTTGCTCCATTTATGGATCGACATAAAGTGACTAAATCAGCTAGTCAATGCGGTTTTATTCGTTTTGTTATTTTGCCTCTATTTGAATCTTTAGCTAAATTATTACCAGAAGTTAAGGTAAGTTTTGTATATAGAATAACAAAAATAAGATAAATTGTCAATCCTTTATTTTGTCTACTATGATTGTCAAATAACAATCTGATGTCTCTTACGTCAATATTTTATTATTTCTTAAAATGAGTTCTCATTTCCCAAAATGTTTTAATAATTTATAATTCAGAATTAAAGTTGAAATTCAGTAAGAGACAAACTATCGTTGTTATCATAAAGAATATTGATAAAAAAAAGTGATTGGAATATTTTTTTTGGAGTTGAGTGGTATTACGAACCGATTTAAGATTGAGACTCACTAAAAAACATGAAGCACTAGATAGCTGTTTCGTCTTGATGTGGAACTTCTTAATGGTACACATATATGATGCCATCGCTGGGGATCGAACCCAGAACTGTCGACCTCGCTAGGAACACCCAATCCTTGAACATTTGAGCCGGTGTAGAAGTCTGATTTCGATCAGTTGATGGGTTTTTAATAACATTTACCATCGCCTAGAGCGGACAATTATCTAACAACCTACATGGTCGGATCAGACTTATCATGGCCTCTCACCAGAATTCTAGGGTTATACCTAGAAGACCGATCTAGTGAGCACATAGTCATGATCAATAAAGACGTGATGCAGTTACCCACTGAAGACAGTGAATAGTTCGATATTGTAGGGTTTAAACGTTCTTTTGTGATACCAAAGTTCTTGGTTTCGATCTTCAGTAGAATCGTGGATGACCACCGATGTAAATTGCTGTACTAAGACAGGCATCCTGGTTTTGACGGATGTCTAAGGTAGGTCAGTTCTTGAAATCTTTCACATTTACTAATCACTACAACTTTTGCACTGATCATTTGAGAAAGACCATCCTGTCAATTTTCTATTAACATTGAATATATTTATATGACTTAAATTAACAGCTCTAATGATTTATTATGATACACTGGTCTATGATTTTCGAATATTGGTTAGAGTCTCATTTGTGAACCTGTGAATACAAAATCCTAATACTAAGTGACATTTTAGGCTATCATTTATAAATTGACATAATTTATAATGACATAAAGATTCAGACAAACAAAGGAATTAAGGTCTTAGAATGAATATTTTTGAAAACAACTTAAATAGATTAGGTAAAAGTAGAAAGAACCTGATAAAATAACCGGGGATAAATTACAGTTACATTTGTGCAATCGCTATAGACCTCTCAGCTTTGTCAATGTAACGTTCCAATTATGGAAAAATTCAGCAAGGCAACTTGGATCCAGTCTAACCAATATTCATCACTTTTGTAAATAAATTAACTGATCATAAGCAAAGATGGATAGTGGCTAGCAGTGGAATCCAGGACGCACGTTTCGTTCCATTTGGGACTCGTCAGCTGGATTTACCTGCATCTCAGAGTTGGTGTTCACTCTCGGATTCGAACACAGTACCTTTCGCTTCAAACGCTATTGCGTTATCCACTCAGCTACTGAGCCACTTGCTTGTGTGACGGGGTGAAGTTTGAATTCACTTAGTATCATTTGTTTGAATCTTCCCATTGATGTTTCGGACTGCAACTCGTCAATCTCTCATTGGTATATGTGCACATATGCACGGTTGAAATAATATTTTTATCTTAATGAATTCTTTTCTGTTTCTTTCGAGTGTCGCAGTAAACAATAACGATAGCACTTATATTTTACCAAGATGAGTTGGTCCCAAATTAAATTGGATAGCATGTTTTATAGAGTTTCTTGGTTTTGAAAGAAATTTTCATCAAGAACTAATTTCCCATAACCAATCAGTGATAACCACTGAGTAAAGCTGACAACGTCTAGTTTTCAACTTTTTAACAGTAGATACACCCCAAACTCTACCATGGGGTGATTTCAACACATACAACCTTCACAGTAAATGTATTAACTTAAGCAAATCTAAAACGGTTATATTCAATAAAACTTTGTTCTTGTTTTCTATTTTACTAGCCAATTATTGTTCAACCAGCCTTGGAACAATTGGCCTACTATACAGATTTACAAAATAATGAAGAAAAGAAAACCAATACTGAAAATCAGAAATCAAATACTAATGAACATCAAAATGATAACAATAATAATCATGACAAAAAAGAACATATCAAATAAAATGTAACTAACAATAATAATAATAAGATTACTTCTCATGAATAAACTGATCCTGAACAACTTCCAAGCATCAAATATTCCTTCATCGTTACTGTCATTACTGTTGTTGATCATTTGATCATATTAATTTAACTATTGAATAGCCAGATATTTCAGTGTTCATGTTTACAGTGACGAAAACTAAGTAACACAGATTTTTTTAAACAACAATAAATTCGTTTTTAAATAATTTCAGGTAAATAATGAAGAAATCTACTAATCTTCATTCTGTTGTTAATGTCAATAATTTTTATCGTGATATTGTAAATTAGATGAGTACCTCCTCAGAGGTTCTTTGAATGACTCCCTCGGTCATATCTCTCACCTACTTAATTGCTTTTGCTCAATATCTGTATTATTACACCGTTGGATGATATATATAATATATATATGCAGAGATCTGAAATAGTTTATTGTAAATTAGCTTTTCAAAGAATCTGAAGTCTACAATTAGTTTTACCTTGAACAAATAAATTTTATCCAAAATGATTTACTTTTTAACAGTAATATACTTCTATTTTTCGGCTGTGTACATTAACCTTTCAGCCTTAATCATTATTATATTCTATTCTTCATTTTGAATAAACTACACATTTTAGGATACTTTTCATACTACTCATATTATAAATAAGTAAGCAAATGAGTGCACTTAGTTTTTCTCTCTCGTGAGAACACTATTTTTTATTAACAAATGAACAAAGGATTTTAATAATCTCTATCATCTGTACTTCTTCTGAAATTAATTTTTCTTCATATAGTTTTATCCCATCTTTGTAATGACTTCTACAATCTATGCAGTGATAACGGATCTGTTGCCTATGTATTTATTATTTTATGAAACATTACGTTTGTTATAATATGACATACATCCGCTTATTTTGTTATGTGTGTGTGTTTTAAGCACATAGAAACTATAAAATAATACTGACGAAAATATTCATTGACTCAATCCAGCTGTAATTTGAGTCTTTTTTTGTTTTCGTTCATACAAACTACAACCACTTAGGTTTTTTTCTTTTTGTACTCCTCTTTCTTGATTAGTTTTCGGTCTTGTATTTTTTTTAAACATTTAAACAGTCAATAAGCTATAACCTTACATAAATAAGATGTGAATGAAGTATTGTGTATTCCATTTATAATTGTATCTTTTTTATGTTACATATTGTATTTATAAAAGTGGAAACAAGTTGAATCTGTTTTTTTTTCAATTTACTGCTTATATGGATGCCTTTTTTTCTCTGATTCATTCATATTGTCCTATTTGCTTATTGGAGTAAATGCATTCCCTTAATTATAAATAAGACCTTTGTAAGTGTTTTATTTTGTCTATAAAGTATGCGAACATTTCTTTTGTTGTTGTTTGTTCTAAAATGTTCACTCAGAAAACAGAAATCTGTTGTTTTTTTTTAAACTAAAATACAAAAACGTTTTTTTATATGATCATAGTACTTTGACATTTTACCGCCTCTATTCTCAACATGAATGATACATACCTTCAACGTTGATTTGTCTATTACTACCTATTCTACTTATCTTCTACTTTATTGTTGTCAAAAATGTTGCTCCTTTTTACTTTCTTATCTGCATGCCTTTTAATTATTTGTGTGTGTGTTTGTTCTACTTTTGTTATTTTTCCAAATATTACACGTTTCCTTTTTTACAATTTGTAACTGTATACTGATATTGATATATAACCACCTAATGAAATACACATTCATAATATAGAAAAATGTTATATCCCTTCTTTGAATACTTCTTGAATAGATCTTTAATATCATGAATGAACATCATATGAAAATGATAAAATGAGTTTTTTGTTTTACAAAATTTGGGAATTTTCTGTTATTTGTGATTGTTTAAATTACTTCAGTTGTACATAATTATTATCTAAATGAAATTAGAATATATAAAATAATAAGATGAATTATGTGGTATTGAAGTTAAATTGTCTTTATTAAATTCGTTATATAAATACTATAATAGTTATAGTGGCTAGTTCTATGTCGAGTTCAAATAGCTTATTCTAGCTTCTGAACAAACCAACCTATTCGGATGTCAAACTTGACTGTTTTGATGTAAGCGTATATGTGTGCATTCCATATCTTATTTATCACATTTCTGTAGATAATTTTTGTGTGACTATAAATATTGATTAACGCGTGATTAAATCGAATTGGCTCATACATCTTCTCCACTGCATGTCATTAGGCTTCACTCTCTTCTTATCGCTTCTGTGATCATTTGTCTGGGTCAACGATTGTATGAAGTACACCTATTCAAATTTAATTATCGCATTTGACTAATTTAATTCCGTTATTCACTAACACGATTTAAATAAATAATTATATACGAGGATTGGCGATATGTATATTACGATAACAAGAAGCATGTGATCAAACAGTTGTTACATTTAGGGCCACCAAAACGTTCAGTCACTTTTAATAACTATGGAAATTTGCATGTCAGATCTCAGACGTCCTTTCAATCAGAAATTGTAACGAATGTGATTAACGGTGTTAGAAATGGGGCCATAACTCACTAATTGTATTCTATCAAAAATGAACATAATCGGTGGTTGTGGCTCCCGACTGATAATTGTTCTGCTACGACAATCAGACGAAGATTTCCGAACTCGCTATTCCATCCAATATCCAGTGCGAAGCAGTACATTGAATATAGATCTGAACACAGTTACTTTTCTGTTCAGCTTATGCAGCTTCAGTTTTCTCAACGAAATTCATATTAATTTGTTCCAAAAGCATCGCTGCCGATCGAAAAGCATTTAACCATTTGTGCTTTTTAGACAATAGGTGATCTCACACATATCGGTGAAAATTTCCGTCTGTTGTTCTGATTAATGATAGGTAGCTTTGGAAACTACAAAAGACTGTAATGCATATTCTTATTTACCTTTCCATATATCCTCCATAAGTTCTAATGGCGCTCTTTAACGCTTCAAGTGATAGGAACGCTTCTGTGACAACGTTAGGAACAACAGAGCTTATACTTCGTGCGTTACAACCATCCATACTGAGAAGAAAAATTGCTCTGTGGAAAAGTACTGACACTTTATACTAATTTTAAGCAAACAATAACCAATTAAAACGCAATTAAAACTAGGAATTTCATTGGACGAAACGGAATGAAAAAAAGTTGGAAAATGGGATGAAGATTTTTTTCAAAAGGGGATGCAAAAAATATAATTTAAATAAAATACAAAAATCGCCGTCAGTTTAATGTTATTCCACATCAATGTATTCCAATCGAATGATATCGTGTACAACACGACATTTATCTCAAATGTGGGGCGCAATATACATTTCTAAATAGACCAGAACATGCAACAAACTACTATTCTATGCTATTCAGATCATAAAAACAAATGTTAAAATTTAATAGAAAAGAAAGCAAGTCCTGAAAACAAAGTATTTAATTAATTAGGAAACTCCAATGACTGACGAAAGTATAATTATCCAACAGTCAGTAAAACTGTGTAAGACAGAATAGTCTCTTAGGATTAAGATAAGGGATATCTAATACGAAATTCTTGTCATATCAAGGTTTTTTAAATAGTTTGTTATGCTCATGGTGTGGTGTGTGCTACTGATATCGACAGCTATCATTAGTATGTATCTTCAATCAAAAGTGAAATGCCTAGAGGCCAAAGGTTAATAAGATCAAAGTAAAGAGAACGAGAACAAAGAATGATTAGTGTGGAAACGAAGGGACAATGAAGTCTGAGACGAGAGATTGATATTTTGCAAACGAAGTGTTCACTGAATGGTTCTTAGATTTTACGAAGATGTTCTGTAATTTTGAATTCAAATATATTTGATTGTTCCCACTTGTGTTCACGTGCACTACAACAGTAATGACAAACAACATAGATATCATATTTGAACTAATTGTAAGTAGATGAGTAAGTAGATGACTGAACCTTCTAGAATTCTTACTTGTCATGTTAATTTCTATACGTTTGTTTTAGTGTACTCTAAGTATATCACATCTTCCCCTTGGACGCTCAACACATACTTTCGTCTACTCTGTTGCTATGGTGCATATACTATGTTCATGCAGGCTTCATGAAACTAACGTCATTCATCAGATGACATGATATTCTTCAACATTAATCAAACAATAATAAACTATATTGAAATGAACAAAATAATGACTTTCCAGCAATGAAACTTTTTTTTCGACTATACTATTTATTGAAACTGTAAAATCATATTGATATTTAGCTTTTTTTACAATAGTGGTCTATAATAAAACAGAGAATTATTGAGTCATTGACGCATGTACTAAAAGTCAACCATTATTAATGTAACCTAATACCCAAATGGTAATTTGTATGAAGTCGAACGAGAAACAGGATATTTCAAAGAGATAACGTCTCAAATAGTTAAGCTTAGTGAAATGGAGAATTAGTGCCCCGAAAATTCTAAGTACACCTTGCTGACAAGTGCCGAAATACGGAAAAAATTAAGTCCAGAGCTTCTTAACTTCTACCTCCAATCACTACCTTACATCTGAGCACAGTTCACACGATTCCGATTCACATAGATTGGAGATAGTCACATAGAAACTTTGCTGATAAAATTCGATCAACAATATGAAGGACTTAACGTACATAACATTGGTTATTGATCAATCAACTGTAAAAATTATTTTTCGTATAATGTCAATTAGATAATATTTCAAATGTCATTTCTGTATTTGAACTCATTTTTGTTTCCATTTGACAACCACATAAATTCTATGGACTAGCGGGCTACACCTGATCTCATCGGCCATATTCATGTGGTTGCGATTTTCGAGACATTTTTCTATATGTTTAACAAAATTAATTAATTTTCAACAGTGTGCACTCAGGATCCCATCTATAGAATAATATTCGCGTGCGGGAACGAAGGTCTTGAGTACACCACACGCTCGGGAGATTGTGAATTCGCATTTCTGAGAACATCCATACTTGAACGAAACAGCCCTTCAGTTCTCCCATATTTTAAATGGTTATGTAAATTTGATTAGTTTTTGGTTTCTCTGAAATTCAAAAATCACCACAACCACATACTGACAAGACAATTCCTTCAAAATCCCCAGTATCAATGAAACTCCATTATTTGATTTACTTTATGTGAAACTTGTGGTTGTTTTATTCTAGAGCATACATCAGATAAAGACTTTTGAAAATTAACTGATATCATATTCATTTTGATTCAAAACTCCTCATAAGTACATATTCAAGCTCTGACACGTGATAAAATACAGACTCTTCCAATAGCACACAGTGCTTCAACCGAGGATAAAAGTACTGAGTATTACAGTTTAGTTGCCAACAGTTCTCCAGGTGATGTCGGTTAATAATTAAAAGCCACTTCTTCTAAAACGATCCAAATGAATGATCCACGATGATAGTTTTGTGCGTTGTTCTCTACTATTTTCGAAATCGGTCGTGAGAAGACATAAAATTCACTTGGAAATAATTTAAATGACGTTTACTAACTTTGATGTAATTCTCACAGTTTAAATCATGGACCTATCTAGGCCAGATCACCATTAAAAACCTGTAAGCACTGGACAGCTGTTTCATCCTATTATGGCACTCTTCAACAGTTCGCATCCTTAATTCCACTCGCGTGACTCGAACCAAAAGCCTTCGGTTTCTCAAGCGAATGTTTAACCTCTAGATCACTGAATTGTGATTTAAAGGTGACAATTTCTAACTTCAGTCAATTCATGATCTTTCAATTATGGTGTAGCTTATATCGACTAATGATTTCCATTATGAAAATACTACAATCTCTACAAATTCTTCATACTGATTTATTGTAATTGACAAACAAACGTGCACTAAATACAAAAGTCTACAAGGAACGAATTTAGCTACATCTCTCTTTCAGATAGCAATAAAACTATACTTTAATATTAAAATATATCACAAGAAAGCCACCAACAAGCTTGACAACGATGGACGCATGGGAAGAGCAATAAGCATACCACGTACTTTTACAGGTGTTTGAAATCTGTAATATACCGCTTCTCAAGTTGTATGAACATAATGTTATTAAATTTATCAACAAACCAAATTAGAGTCCTATGAAGAACATTTTCCCTATAGTTTTACATATAGATATCGTTAAACCTCGGATGGCTTAACGGTAATCCATTCACCATAATCTATAAAGTATCATTTTATACAAATTCAAGTTTGATACATTTAAACAAAGTTTGATCGCCAACCAGCTTGTTACTTTACTTATATGAGAAAAAGAAAATCCACGTTTCATCAAAAATTCTAATAGCATATAAACAGTAGTGTCACATATCATTGTACCTACCAGTTAACATGTTTATTTATATACACGTACATGGAGGTGAGTAACATAATCTTAGAAGTAAGGGTGAATGTACATGTAAAGAGCTCATTTAAATGTTCAATGTAAGGTGATTTAAAAAAAAACTAAGTTTTGGCTCATTTTGTGATTTTGAAACGATCCTATGCTTCAAACTATGATTTTATATATTTTTTTAATTTGATTACATGTAATATATATTTGAAGAAACCCATACTCAGAAGAGACAGCTATCCTCTACTTTCCGATATTCATTGGTTATCTAAATAAGATAAATGCATGTTGTAAATTATGAAATTAAACAATCTCACTCGAATACTCATAGTTATATCAATAGACTGTTATTCTGGATTGAAACCCTACACTTTAATCAAGGGAATCTAACTGATTTCGTAAATTTGTTTTCTTTACCAGAGTATTTCTGAGTCCGACCAAGCTGCTTATTTTCTCCCTTTCTCTTTCTTTTGACGGTTGACTGGATAATGAAGACCTCAACATCTGAGAGGTAACACGGAATACAATTTACAACTCAAAATCAATTATAAGATTTGGAATTCGTAGATCACTTAGCTCTTCTATTCCATACATATAAACAAATACAGATAAAGACAACTAGCGTAGCAGCAGTCTATGCATCATCAGGCAATATCCTTAAATATAACACTCAGAACACTGACCGAATCAAACTTGATGGCGAAACTCTGGAAGTCGTTGACAGTTTTACATACCTAGACAGCATAATTGATGAACAAGGAGGATCTGATGCAGACGTAAAGGGGAAGATTGGAAAAAGAAGGACAACATTCCTAAAGTTGAAGAATATATAGAACTCAAAACATTTATCTGTCGACCGATCAAAGTGAAAACCTTCAATACGAACGTCGAGACAGTTAGTCCTACTGCACGGAGCTGAAATGTGGAGAATTACCACAACCATCATCAAAAATGTACAAGTATTTACAAAGAATTGTTTACTCAAGATACTCAATCTCCGTTGACTAGATACCATTAGTAAAAGCCTACTGAGTGAGAGAACAAACCAGCTTCCAAGTGAACAGGAAATTAGGAAAATGTACTGGAAGTGAATAGGCAAGCCCTAACTTGGAATCCTGAAGGAAAATGGAAAAGAGGAAGGCCGAAGAACCTACTTTGTCGAGAATTGGAAGCAGACATGACAAGGATGCATAAAAACCAGAAACAAGTAGAAAGAATTGTCCAGGACAGAGTTGGATAAAGAATACTGGTGAACGGCCTATGTTCTTTCAGAAGGAGTACCAAGAGTTAGTAAGTCAGTAAGTACAAGAATACTTATGCTTGCCTGTATACCAATAGATATAATATACAATTTTTTTTTTCAATTATTCAATTCAAACTTTTTTTAAATTTTCATCAGGATTTCAAGGTAACATTTAAAAACAAACATATAAACAAACTAATAATAGAGATATATCGAAGAACCAATTAAATATAACTGAAACTGATTCGTATTAATGAGGCGTTACCTTAATTTAAATTTTCCACTTAGTTTTATCAACAACAAAAAAACAGAATAAAAAGGATAACGATAGGTATAAATAATTCGTAAATCAGACTCATAACGACAAAAAGAACTATCATTCATAACTCATTTTTCATTCCAAACTATTATCTTAGCTACAGTTACATTACTACATAACATATAATCCATTATCTAATAATAAGACAATTTCAGGAATCATATCAATAATCATTATCATTTATTTTGCATAGTAACAAAAAACAAAAAGGTACATTTATATATCACTATACAATTTACACAGATTAAATGGTTAGGAACCGATCTTATTCTATTTAAATCAATCTACATATGTATGTATAGAGAGAGAGGGGGGAGAGAGATGATGAACAGTTTTATTTTATTTTTTTCACAAAAAACACAACAGATTATCAGTTCATTTCATAAAATATGCTCATAGTAACAAGAATAATTAATGATATGAATTTATATATTACAAATTTAATCACTATCCCAATATTGTCATCTCAATTATTACTAATAGCAGTACCATTATTATTCTTTTATTCATTATTATTATTATCATTATTACTAATACTACTTCCAAAGAAGTAATTAAGGTATATCTATATCTACCCCTACATATATATATCCAAATATAATTACAAATTATGAAAGTTATCATTTTTATATTTTATATATATACTACTATATATTTTACTATATCACAAATACAAAATCAGAGTCAATTAAATCATTATTATTTAAGATTATTTATTTTAATACCAAATAATGATTGTTTATTATTGAATGAATTATTTGATTATACCGCTAGTATTGAAGATACAATTCAATTAAATAAACAAATAACAATTAATTGGGCCTCTAACGATACTACTAATAATAGTAGTAATATTGAACAATATATCATTCCTATTACCGATTGTATATTAACTAATAATACATTTATAAATATGTTAACATTATATAAACAAATTCAACAATATACCCAAATTATAAATAATGATAATAATAAAATATATTATAATATAATGATAGGTCCATATCATTCAATATTATGTAATCAAATAAATCAATTATTGATGTTATCATATATTGATTGTTTCAAATCATCATTAATGACAACATTAATATATCATACTACTTATCAATGTCCATTAATAAGTAGTATAACATATCAATCATATTGTTATAATAATACATATACTCATCAGAATGATCAGAATGATAATAATAATTTTACAAATATTCAAAGTTTAACTATTGGTGCTAATAAATATCAATTATCCATTGCTTTAATTAAACTATTACAATATTTAAATAGATTAAATATATTAATTATATATGATAGTAGTAGTAGTAGTAGTAATGTATATAATCATAATAATAATGATCCATTAGGAATATTTATTAATCAATTAGCTTATCTATTATATAATGGTGGCAATACTGGTATATCTGTTAAAGCAATATATAAATGGAATAATAAAGAAAAGAATATAACAAATATATTACAAATAGGAAATGTAGACATTTCTGGTATGTATTATATTAATATTATTGAATTATTTTGATAACTATAAGTTCTTATCAGAAAAGAGAGTTTTGTGGAGATTGTAATAGTTTATAATAGTTGGATTCATGAATAACCTTGAAGCACTGGACGGCTGTTTTGTCTTAGTATGGAACTCCTCAGTGATAACTGGCATCAAAAGGTATTTCCTGAAGTTTTAGTGTGGAGGCGTGACCAGTGGAGTTCAATCATGTCTGCTGTGAGATAGTAACTCACAGAAGACAATGGTGGATAGTGGCGCAATTTTGTTGATCGGTTGAAGCGACAAATTAACACCGCAGTATGCCGGCTCAATGGTCTAGATGTTAACGGTTCACAAATGACACCGGAGGTACTCTGTTGGAATCTCACGAGTTGGACCTTGGATGCGCACTGATGAAGAGTCCCATACTAGGGCAAAACGGCCGTTCAGGGCTTCAACGTTTTCCGTGATGGTCTAGCTTTAATCAAATCATGAATTCAACTATTAAACTTTAAGTTGATCTGAAATTAGCTATCGTTACAGTTCGGTATCAAAGTACCGACACGTAAAAAACGGGAAACAGTAAACACATATTTTGTCCTTGTCTAAATTTCTAGAGATATAACTAATTCATGTTGATGATCTACACATACTCAAAAAAATATAACGGGTTAATTTGTTGCGTCTTAATCGCTTAAATCAACATAAATGTAATTAGTTACATACATTATTGCTATAGGCTGGATGTGAAATCAACATTCAACCTTATAATCTTTTATATCCCTCATGCTTCTCTATTTTCAACTTGGGAAAAAGCGGGAAAACAACCTTTGAACTTTATTTGTTCTTTCATTTTGAGTCTTCAAATTAGAACAGTAAGATCAAAAGGCAAGCCGACTTCAGTTAATCGTTGTGTCTTGAAGTATTATAGAGTCTAAAATTTATTTCAAATTTTTAAACAGCTATCTGTGATACTATGTACTCCTGTAACGGAATCCATTCTTTTATGAGCCACCGCAAGAAAATCTTAGACATAAAATACTTGATTATAATTCTTCAACTTTATCTCAGATAATCACTCCTAGATCAAAAGAGCATACCAATCATGAAGTAATCTTTCAATAATCACAATATGATTACAGAATAAATCAGAATTCGAATTAAACAACTAAGAATCAGTGTGTTAATAAACACAAAAAGTAGATTAGTTCAATTCCACTTCCATTTATTCTCCAGTGTTAAAGAAACCATGGTTTTAATGATCTAAAAGAGATGTCTACCATAAACCCTGACTTTCTCCTTCTACTACCTGTATCGAACAGATGATCGAACAGAGAACAAAAAAAAACATAAAGAGCATGAAACAGAAATTGTGATTCAAGAACATGGAAATGTATCACAACATCACACGATTTTCCTATGTGTACACTAATCAAATTAATGACGGAAGTACTGTAAATTCAATCATTCAAAGTACAGAAAAATGTCAGATCATTTCAAACATTTAAGTCATTGTCATAAACGTAGACACTTTTAATTAAGGGAATTATAAAAGTATGTCAGTTCCAAGGATTTCCTAATCACCAACAACTAAAACCTTTGTTTTTTTAAAAACATTAATTAGACAAATGGTATACAACCAATAACTGTTCACTGTAAAAATCTATTATAAATGACAATAATCTTTTTTAATTTGACATTTTGAATGAATAAAGATAAATACTCTGAGAATAATTTTGACATATCACCTCAAACTTAGAATCATTCAATCAACTCGAAAGATCTGATTTCGATAAAGATCATGAATCGATCAATCGTAGACTACCATTGAAATCCTGGAAGCACTGAACGGCCATTTCGTCCTAGTATATGACTCCACAGCAGTGAACATCTATGAACTCGCACACAAGATTAGAACCTAGGATCTAAGATCTAGTGCGCGAACGCTCTGCTGAGGAGTCCCATACCAGGACAAAATGGCTGTCCAGTGTTTCCAGGTTTTCAATGGTGATTTAACAGAGATCGATTCATGATCTCGATCAAAAACTTAACAATCATAAACTCATACTGATAAAAGATATGTACCTATATGATTCTGATATTTTCAATGTTTGAAGTCAGTAATAGAATGTAAGAAGAACTAATTATCACAATATTACTTATTAAAATTATCTTAGTACTTATGATTATCAATAAAATTAAAGTCATTAGTTTGGGCTCAAATTATTATTTAGCAAAGTTTGTGTTATAGCTTAGGCTGGTTTTGAACAAACTGACTAAAGAATGATGTAAACATGAACATGGTAGTTAACCAGTATTTATATATATATATATATTCTATGATGAAAGATTATAACTGTTAACCAAAGTCATCACAGAATGTAACAGGCACAACCGAAGCACCCGATTGGTTCTGTTCTAATAAATGAACCCGTCCCCTTGCGGGTCAGGGATTCAAGGCATGTATTAGCTCCAGAAGTACTACAGTTATCCATGTAGCGTTTACAATCTAAGGAACCACAGCTGATTTAATTATTATTACTGTCTCTAACAAAATGAAAAAAAAATCTAAGGAAGTGTTTGCACACACCTATAGTGTGCAAGACATTCATATTCCTATAGGTGATTTCATATCACATAAATGTTTTTATCACTTAAAAACGTTAGTACATATACATATATATGTAATTTTCCTTGTATCTATGTAAATAGCCATTATTATAAAATATGTATATGATTATTCTAGAAATAGAAACCCATGAATACAGAAGGTAACTGTAAATGAACTAAATCAACTTCTTATTTATTACATAATAACAATTTTGTAGTAAGAGCAGATATTTATGAAACATGAACATTTTTTTCTTCGTTGAAAACGTCAGTCAATTGAATCTAGACCACTAGGGAAAACCTGGAAGTACTAGACGGCCGTTTCGTCCTATTATGGGACTCTTTTTTTTATAACATACTTCATTCAATATCGTTCTACTGATTAATTGATAATCGATTGTATTCGTTTCTTCTTTTCTTTTCTTAATTTTGTTTAAATGAATTAGCTTGTATTGTAATCGCTCAACTTTCATTCTATTCTACCTTATTAAAATATATTTATCAATGGGATCAGAATATATTAAAAACAATTATGTTTATAGCATATGATATGTCTTTATTCTCATATGATATACTTAAAGTATGGAAATATAATGCACAGAATATAGATGGTGATTATTCAACACTTATAAATTATGCATTTGTTTTAACATCACATCCATATGGTTCAAAATTACATTTAACCGATGAATATTTAAATCAGGTATGAAAGAAATAACAATGTTGTTTATTATATTAAAAGTAAATTGAGTTGAATTTATAAGTAAATTTGAGCTAAACCACTTCAGCTGGATGTACTTGCATCTGAGAGTTGATGTTCATTCGTGGATTCGAATCCAGTACTGTTTGCTTCAAATAGGACGACACGCGCGTCCTCTATTCCATTGCTAGCCACTATGAATTTCTGCTTGTCATTCATTTGTTTAGAAATTCTTATTGTTTATCCTAATTTTTAGTTTTGTGCAAAAAAATGGCCTAAAAAGGAATTAAAGCTTTACGGGTAAACCATTAAACTCACAGAACGCTGTTTAAACAAAAGGAATATAGTGAGTTCGCACCTAAATATTTACTATGACAAATGCAGTTCCTGATGGGATATACATAGTCAATAGACTAGAAATACCAACGAAGAATGAAATTGAAAACATTTTATTTATTTATTTATTTAAACACATAAATATTGGTACAAGGAAACATCAGATACATATGTGCCACACAAATCTCATTTGATTTGTGTGAGGGCTGGGATACTGCCCAGGTGCTCAGACTGAAACAGGTGGTTTGTATATGGGGCCACACCTCTAGCCTTCGACCTAAATGTCTGGTCTACAAGGCAATGGATCATCGTGAGGAGATGCAGTCCCATAGTAGCCGGTGACCTATGATTGATTCATACGCCATTTGTTCCCTCAGGATACTGGAGCCTATGTGCACCATTGGTTTGGAATCAGGGTTTTCCAACTCCTCTAGGTAGACTTTTCCTGTCCGCGAACTCGGTTAAAGTGCCGGACATTCTCTTTTCGTCCACTCAATTTCGTAAATAACTCCCGGGGTGCGAGAAGGCAGTGATTAGGACTTCCCTGACAGAGACTATATACGCATGGTCATGTGAGAGCGTTTCGAGAGGGAGAGCGGACCCTCCCCACTCTCGATCGTGCCAGGGCATTTGCGGGCAATAATTCATAGACCAACCAGATGATGTTTGGTGTATGACCAATTACTAATTACGAGTAGAATTTTACAAGTTTTAATTCCATTTTAACTATTGATCCATTTTTCAATCATAATAGCTTCATTCTTTAAAGTTTTCCTTGTTTTTTTCATGTACCATAAACAGAAAGATTATTTAGCAATGAAATTAACTTTGGGCATGACAATATGTAATTTTAAACATCATATACAACAGATGGAACAGGCACAACAATTATCACAACTACCAGAAGATAATGGTTTCTATGGATCATTAAACAATGCAACATTGAAAATTCCAATAAAGTCAGATTTAAGTTTAGCTATACAATTTCATGAACATCCAGAACAAAGTCAAGCTGCATTAGATTTTTATTTAATTAATGCATACACATGTAATGTTGATATTTCGAATTCATCAATGAATATTACTAATACTACAATTAACAATATTACTGATGATACTGTATGCTTAGAGATATTTTCATCAATGATTTGGCCAGATTACAATGTTAGTAGTATGGTATTAGGAAGTGATTGGCAGTTAAGTGCTACATTACAACAAACTACGACAACTACAGAATGTATTCCAAGTAAGTTTAGATGTTGAAATCAAACCTTTCTCAGTATGTATTCTGTTAATTGGTTCCATTTGATAAATACATATATTCCTAATTGTAGTTTTCGCGAGAATTCACCAGTTTTCCCGAATTATCTAATCTAATATTTAGAATGGTTAATTTCTTGATATTTCGTATTTATTGAAAACTAATAAGTAGCTGTTAAATAGGAATATTATATTTGTAAAATCTAAGTGATGGAATTTTGAAGTAAATCCAACGTTTCGCCTGGCAACCTGGTCCAAGCTTATTTCTTACATCAACTCGGCGCCCAAATTCTATGAAGCTATTCGATCTAATTAAGTAGCTGGTAGATAAAATTTCAGTTTTTAATTAGTTGAAGTTATTAGCATCGAAACTGTAGTAAAGGCATTTATTATATAAAATGACCGTTTCCACGTATATTGATTGAAATCAGACATGTTAATTTATGGGTGATGTGTCAATTGTTCAAAGGCTAGGCACTTGCAATGAAACCTGAAGTTTATAGGTTCGATCCTAAATAGATTTATGAATTTACACTACTGAGTAACTCAGTATTAGTTCAAATCGTCTGTCCAGTACTGCCAATTTATTAAAAGTCGTTTAACTAAGATTATTCCTTGATTTAAACTATAAAACAATGAAACATTAGACCATGTCACTTGTAAATATCATAATCGAACTGGTTTTCTACTGTATTTTTCCAATGTAATTTCCTTCAGTCTCATTAATAATGATTACGTTAATGAAAAATTTGATGTATAGTACCTATCTAACTTCAATTAATTCAAATTGTAATATTGTAGTGAACGAGAACACAAGTGGGAACAACCAAATGTATTTGAATACAAAATTCCAAAACATCTTAGTGAAATCTGATAACCATATAGTAGATATTTCATTTGCAAGATGTCAATCAATCGTCTCAGACTTCATTTTCCCTTCGTTTCCACACCAATTATTCTCAGTTCCTGTTCTCTTTCCTTCAATCTGCTTAATCTTCTGCCTCCAGGCATTCCACGTTCAATCGATGATATATACTACTTATATCTGTCGACATCAGTAACACCACACACCACAGTACAACTCTAACCAATTTCTAGTATTTTTTGTGAATATATTAAGGCTTTAAACTAATAAGGTATCAGCAGTTATATTAAAGGAAATTAAATTTAACATAAGAATAATCTAATTCATTCAATATGTTGTCTTTATTGCCTTTAAAATTCTTTATTTATTTCTTCAGATAATGGAATAGTTATGGCCCTCATATTCATGTCAGTATTAACAGCTACAATAGCATTTTCATTAATTGCCTTCTTATTAGCAAGGTTAGTTTTGAAATCATTTATTCATGTCATAAGAAAACTAATTTAGGTTATATTTTCAATATTTCATCTGCTTTATTATTCACATATAAGGATAAACGCGAATAACTGACACTTTACCGTTGTTATTTCTCGAACATATCCTCATGACAGATGAATGATCAAACTACCTCATTGTGTATGACTCCACCAGCTACGCAAATAAATTTTCTTTGTCATTTTCCTGGTTCATCTAGTGAGGCTGCTTTCCAAAACGTACATCGTCCAGCTTCTGGCCGTATGTTGGGGATAGAGGATTTCCTCTCACTGAATACTATTCCAACTAACAAGTTATATTTTCAATATTTCGTCTGCTTTATTATTCATATATAAGGATATAATTCGTAGTGTACTAATTGAACTTCACCCTGAGATAAACTTTGGCCACATTTCTATTCTATATTGGACTACTATAACTCTATATTACAATCAAGTTCATGAACCTTATAATTTGAAAAGATCTCATCTATTTGACATGTTTTCACTATGAAAATAATCTCATCTTGGATCCTACTGCTAAATAGTATTCAACTACAATTAAATCTTTAAATGATTAAACATCTTTAAACGAATAGTTCAAGTTTGTTCAGCGATAAATAGAAAAATGGGTGTAAAGATCAGAGAATTCTATTTAGGCACCGAAAAAGACATTTTGAAGTTTTTTTTGATGAGTAGGTGAGTAATCAGATAATAAGGATACAAATAACTAAAAAACTACGCAAAACTGTTATTAAACAAACGTAATATACAACAGATTAGTCAGTTAGTTAGCTACAATGTAGGACCAGGCACATAGGTGCATCGGACCAAGTTGTCACACCTCATTAGCCCATATATACAGCAGATAAAATTAATGCTTCAGAATATTTAAGAAATTTTCAAAATAAAACAAGATATTTAATCTCTTCATTACAACTTTGTCCATAGAGAAATTGTTATCCAGAAATCAAAACTTGAAAAGGAAATAGGACAGCTGATGATAGATTTATACTTATAATCTCAAAAAAAAAATCATTGTAAAAAGCGTGAGTTATATCTCAAGTTAGCTAATCCAGTGGTTGAAATAAGTTATGCTCTTGAATATGTCAATGTTTCTGGGTTCGACCTATGTCATGGAAATGAATATTTGTTGTAGAAAACTTTAGAACTGAACCACATAACCGCTAATTCATGGCTCATCTTTAATAGTTGACTTTATTAATTAATTTCATGATGAAATAATGATAGGAAGTGAGTAGATTCTAAGCAATATTCCAACTATAGCCATGTTCATTGGCTTGAAAATAAGAGTTGAATTCTTCAACAGGAAGATTTGTCATAAAAAAGTATATCGATTTTGTTGAAAGGCTACTGATTGTCTTTATTTGAGTACTACTGGTAATGTCTAAATGGATAAACAACTGACGCTTGAACACTTTGTTGCAAGTAGTGTCAACTTGCCTATTTTTATTAAATATGTTTCCATAAGTAAATTCATCTTTATTTGATTCCTCTGAGCCTGGCTTGTCAACTAAACCACCTTAATTGACCTACAGTACGGAAATGGAATGGTTCTCTTTGATCACGGTGTTAACATGGCTTCAATAATAGTGGAAGAATGCTTGGAATTCATTCATCCCCATCTAATTCAAACGGTTAGTTGTAGGGTTGTCTAATTCAACCAAACGAAATGAAATAGATAAGCATGTAAACTGATTTATTTATCCAAAAAGTCACCTCAACCATGTTTGATTAGTATTTGAAGAAATATAAATAACAATCAAACCTGCCTTTTCTAAATCGTATCTACGTGGTATAGTCGAGTAAACCTGCTGGTTACAGAACAGAGAATTTAAAATATTCTACATAACTTTACGATTTTCCAACATGCAAATTTTAAAGATGCCTTTAGACACTAGTCACGTAGAGAATCGTCAACGGAGTAAAAGGGTGATTAGTTGTAAATCATTGGGCCAGAAAAGTAATTAGCAAACCATTAATGTTATGAATCATCATTTAGAGAAGTGGTCATAACAACTGTTACATACGTCTAGACATTACATGTTTCGACTTGTAATACTGGGCGGTATACGGACTGGATGGAATAATTCCAACATTGTCCAGATCAAGAAATTCAATTGGTCACTGAAGGGATAAAGAGCTTAATAATCCAGACTGATGCCGTATTCAAATCCCTAACTCCAAAAATTGTTGTATAATCCTTTATCGTCAATTACATTTATTCTTTCTCAAATCGTGTATTGACTGCTACTACTATAATTCAAATTTCATTTTTGTAATCATCAATACTGTTACTTAAGTATCCTTCGTTTTCATCTTAATCATTTCTTCGCCTTATCCACTGACTTAAACTATATTAAGCCGTACCGACAAACACTTAGTCAGTTACTAAACTGTTTGTGAAAAACTAGCAACAAATGATCATTATCATCGTATATCTTGATTAGGGAATACAAGTCACTTGTCAATCCCTCATTAGTATGATGGTAATAATAAATTTGTAGACTATAATATTCATTAAAAGTACTATTAATCGTATCAATAATACATGTATGCCCTAATAATTCCATTATGATTATCAACAGGAAAGCTTTTTTATAAACCCTAAAAGTATATATTGAATAAACAATTTTCAATATACAACAATCATTGAAAATCTACAATCAGATCGAATAGTTTTTTTTTTGGTATCATTATTATTATTATTATCCTAAACTGATTTTTACTTTTTGGTATAGTTACACCCTATTCTTCCCATAGATTATTCCAAATAAGCACAATCACAAAACAAACAAACAAATAAGCCTGAAATTTATATGATCATTGGAAATGTATATCATTCTCTTTTCATTTAACACCCCCCTCCTTCTTTTTATTAATAATAATATATAATACTTATTTATGTTTTGATCACTTTTTTTTCAATTTTTGCTCTCCATTTATTGTTCTATTTGATTTCCTTTTTTTTTTGGCAAATCCCAAATAGCTACTACTATTGCACATTAGATAAATTTAAAAGTGCTCATGATCTTTTATTTTATGGGAATTGATCCTTTGGAAAAAATTTTTTATGACAAAGGGCATGCTTTTGTTTTCAAGTTTATCAGTAGTTCTCTCCACCGTTCGCTCGCTCGCTCGCTCACTCGCTTTCTCTAATACACATTTGTTGATTTTCCATTCATTAGATACATTTTATTATATTATCTTTATAGGACGGATCAGTTTTGAAAGATTTTAATAAAGCTATCCGTATTAAACAAATAGACTGAGAGGATTTACAGATGGAAAGGTCATTGATAACTGAATTTGAAAAAGAAGGCTTAAATAAGTACATATTGTATTACAGAATAATTTATCAGCTAACGGAGATACTTGCTCTAGTGAGAGGCTGTGACCACTGGAACTCAAGTGTGTTGAGTGTGAGACAGTTACACATGGAAGACAATGGAAGATGGTCGCTCAATAGCGTGGATTGGTTTAAGTTAGACTGTTGGATAGAGATTCAATGGTCTAGAGGTTAAACATTCGCGTGAGAGACAGAAGGTTATGGGTCCAAATCACGCGTGCAGGATCGTGCATGCCCAATACAGAGGAATACGATACTAGGATCAGACGGCCATCCAGTGCTCCCAGGTTTTAAATGGTGGTCAAACAATCACTATAATGCCTTCTAGTGCTTAGTGTTGATCGACAGAATTCGATACATACTTAAGACTATATAACTAAATATCCTAGTTTAGTTGGTTTCTGAAAGGTTCAGTAGCAGCAACTATGACTGTTATACCGGATGACATAAAGTAAAATCTTACTGAAGAAATAAGTTCAATTCAAATTTCTGTTACGTTTACCTGTCAAAACCAAGTTCCCAAGAAAACAAGGTTTCAGACTTCTTGACTTTTGTCTTCAATAAATACACAATGTTAACTATTATAGCAATTAACAAATTAGTTTGTCACTCTACTTGGTTTCGGATGTTATTACTCAGAAATGAAATTGAATTCACTAATCTATAAATGTCACATTCCAACTTGGAAAGTATACTTTACATACTATTGTAGTGAACAAGAACACGGATGGGGACAATCGAATGTACTAAGGCACAAATTACAGACTATCTCATTAAATTCTGATAACCGTACAGTCAACAGTTAATTTGCAAAATAACAATCAATTGTCTCAATCTTAACTGCTCCTTCTGCAAATATCAGTCCGTCTTCTCTGATTTCATTGTTTATGCATATTCCTACAAATTGCGCTTCATTCCTGTTCTTTCCTTATCGATCTTCTGCCAAAATACATTCTATGTCTGACCATCACCATATACTACTTATGTGGATATAAGTAGATCACACAACACTATGTTTAACTTAAAATTAGTTGCTGCATTTCATCCAATAATTCTCATTTTATTTTCACATATTCTTCAAGATACCGTGGACAAGTGAAAGTTATGAAGATAATCGTAATAATTATTGCCATTTTTAGGCACCCATTATCTAACTTTTGTTGAAAAGGATGGTTTAATGTTTTCTTTATTCATTAACTGGATGCTACAAATTTAGGTTACCAATTTGAGTAAATAATTACAGAAGTTGTGTTTTCTTTTAAAATATAAATCTATATTTAGCTACATTAGGATAAATCGACACCATAAGTAAATGATACTAATGAATACACAACTATTTCAATCAAATAAAAAAAGCCCATACTAATTGTACTTCATAATTTCCAGATGTTACCGACGACGAAAAATGTATCGTGAAGGACCTAATAAATTAATTCTTTATCCAGATGATGTTGTATTCATGAAAACTCATAAAACAGTTAAACATACCACACCAGTAAGTTATATGATTTATGTTTCAAATTATCATTCAATGAATGTATTTTAAATGTGAAAAGCATTAGTTTTCAATATTTTGTAGTTGCATGGGAACATATAAGGCATCGGTCATATGTCAAGCATAAATGTATATTCTCGAATGGTTCAATATTTTGTTATTGTTATTTACTGGATTTGTATAGATAAATTTATTTTGAATTTTTTTACGATCAATTGAATATTCGTGTAAGTAGTATGTACAGATCTTTCCATGTAATAATCGTCACTTCATGATGAAGTTTATTCGTTATGTGACATTATAATCAATTGAATATGTCCTATCTGGAATGCTTAGTACTATAGGTTGCCAATGTATATTTACTGAAGTACTGATTAAGTTGTCGATAATAAAATGAAAATTGGAGATGATAAGATCCACCTTATTTTGAAATATTTACGTTTGTTACCTGTTAAAACACTGGATACAGATTTATATCTCAATAACCTTATATTAAACCATAATAAAATTGTGGTGAAGGAGAACACAGGTGGGGACAGCTTAATGTGCACCAATCGTCTTAGACTTTTCTGTTCCTTCATTTCCATACCAATCGCTCTCTGCTCTCATTCTCTTCTCTTCAATTTTCTCAATCTTCTACCTCCACACATTCCACCTTCGATTGATGATATATACTACTCATGGCTGTCTACATGAGTAGCACACATCGAAATATGAATATTATTGAAAGATTTAGGAACTTGGAGTAAACATCAATATCACGTGAAAGCACCAGGCTGGGATCATTTAAGTTGCAAAAATTTTTTCAACTGTAACGTGTCCATTACGAAGTATAGTCGCCAGTTGTTAATAAAATTAAATTATTCAAAACATTTATTTTGCTGATATTGGCTCGATCGCAAGAATTAGTTCTAGGTTGGCAATCATGTACTTATCAATTTTGCCAGACTAATAGGCCTACTTCAATAATAAGAACGTGTTATAATATGACCAACTAATCTATAAGATCTTACGTTGAAGTCACGTCATTGTCTATGGTGAATTGTCCTATCGTGATAGTCAGTAATTTTGCCTTCAAGAACCACCACAGAATATGTTCATAGTGGTGATAAAGTAATATATTTAATATAAAAAGCAAAGGGCTACATAGAGTGTACACACCTTCATGACCAAACCATGCTGTCCCGATTAAGTGTTCGCACGTTGAATTTTCCTGATCTCCATGTGTTCAACAATCAATGTAAGTTTTCCTAATTATTATGTATTCTGCTTCAGCTATTCTGTGGTCTGGAATTAATGTCACTACACCCTGTACGAAAATTTATCATCATTTTTTTCTACTAATAATCATGTGTCAACAAATGTTTCTAGTCTGTTAGATATAAACCCATATCCCACAGATATCGAAAAATACGGATCCGATATCAAAATTTCGTTTAATTTCATGAATCAGTAGGATTCATCGAGTAATAAAAGTCAACTATATATTGTAATCTAAATTCAAGGATCGAATCAGCATTGCACAAATGAATATAAATTAAATTACCATACATCAAACACCGGATAGAGTTAGATAAAGAAACTGATGTGAAGATTAAGAAATCGAATTTTGTGAAGTCGGTAAATTCAAAAGTTGGAATCCAATAAGTAAACAACCAAGTTGTCAAACATACAAAGAAACCGATATAAATTTATATAACTCATTTATCTAATATAAAATAACAATACACTATTAGAATATTTTGTTGAGTACAGACGGTATGAAAACAAACAGTATGAATAATGTTTAATTGGAATTAGTCTACATTTACATGTTAAGTAAGCGGTTGAAAACTATTCATACTTCCAGTCAAAAGAGATAGATTTCTTGATCGACCAATGACTGTATTATATAAATATATAAAAGGTTGAAAAATATAACATATAAATTATTATCAGAAGGGGTGGCGTGTGTTTCCCGATTTCGTGGATCAGTTGAAGTTAGACATTAACACCGTTGAATGCCGGTCCAGTGGTCTAGTGGTTAAGCGCTCGCGCGTGTAACCCATAGGTCCTGGGTTCGAATCTCGTGAGGCGGGATCGTGGATGCGCACTGCTGAGGAGTCTCGTGATAGAACGAAACGGCCTTCTAGTGCTTCCAGATTTTTCATGGTGGTCTAACTTCAATTGATTCATGATCTCAACTTTTTAAATAGAAATTATTGTTTGAGATATTATTTGTTAGTATTTTTGTTGTTTGCTTCATGATAACTATCATACAATCTGTAAATAAAGTTCAATTGTACATGTAAACTATCAAAATGTACATAATTCTAATTCATTTACAATGTATATTGATGATAATTAATTGTTTATACTTTACTGATTATCTGATTAAAAAACAACAATTGCAGAGTAATGTTGATCTACGTTTTCCAACAATGACTAGTGAAACAAAACTTAATGGATCAACAACTAGTCATATAAATCAAGGTAAAATAGATAATCAAGCCAGATCATTGGTGTCAGTTATGAGTGGTGATGGAATTGAAGATACAAATGTTGCACGTTATAATGTAAGTACTCAAATATTCACATGTTTTCGATATAATTTGAAATTCGATAGATTACCATGGATCATTTATTGAGTTCATAATCCTTATGGGATTAGATGCTCGTTTAGTTATAACTTCAATTGATTCCACGTGAAATGTAGAGGTCACTGTGTCGTGGGCACATGCAAATAGTGGCGTTTTGCCAAGTGTACACATCCATCCATAGCTTGCTGGTTTCTAACTAAACCCCAACTGAAGTCACTTAGCAAGTGAAAGTGGCAACTAGCAATCGTATCATCATCCTTTTTGTAAAATCTGTAGAACTATTCATTTCTTCAACAAAATAGACATCAGTTAATAGTGATATTGACTATGAATCAATATAGTATGTGATTTCTCCCCTGTCTACTGTCTATTGTTTACAAACCTCTACTATTTAAGCATCAAGAAACTAATTATTGAGGGTCATTTATACAACACTTGAATGATACACCAAATAATTTTGAACGTATATAGTAAATTGAACAAGAAGGTAATTACGTACATTTAAATTAGAGCCAATTTTGACAAATTATTATTATATTTCTTCACAAGTGAAAACCTAGGGGCAGTCAATGACTGTTTTATCATGGGATGGGATTCCTCTTCAATTTCTAAAAATCATCCATATTTACGATAATCATGTACACACTCGTGACTAGGTTTAAAGTGCAACTCCTATAGTTCTAGTGAGAATTTGTGACCATATGAGTTCTAATTGTGTATCGTGTAAGACATTTATCCACCCCATGAAATAGATGGATGTGACGGAGTATCGGGTATTAATTGAAGTTTGAAATTAACACCGCTGTACGTCGGCTCAGTGGTCTAGAAGTTAAGTATTCGTGTTCATGATTGAAGGTCCTAGGTTCAATTCTCGAGTGCGAGTTAGTGAATAACCACTATAAGGAAGTCGCAAACTAGAACGAAATGACCATCTAGTGCTTTAAGGCTCTCGATGATGGTCTAGTTAAAAACAGTTCGTGAGTTCAACCATGAAGAATACAAGTCTCTCTATGCTTATGTCAATCGAATAAACATTATATATCAAGGTTCTAAACACATCTGTATCATATCAAAAGCTGAAACAATAAGATATGGACCAATGACTCTTAGCTCTCTCTGCTAAGCTTTAGAAGGGGCTTTTTGTGGATATTATGATAATTTAATAGTTGAGTTCATGATTCAATCGAAGCTTTGGAAATCAATTTTATGACTAGAAACATAACAATATATTTTATGATCGACTATTCGTATGTTAACTGTTAAATAACGCATAGCCGTGATAGCATGTTTGAAGATTTTATACATACAAACAGTTACATTTTCCTCATATATTTATACAACAATGAGAATTTGTAGTTTCGGTTGCTATATTAAGTCCACATAACTTATTCTTGCTTCCGAACAGGTCAATTTATTCATTCTTCTTAAGTTATACTTTGACCTTGTTACTTATTCACTTATCAACCTTGGGTGTTTTTATATAAGCATATGTGTGCATTTCTTATCCTATTCATCACATGTCTGTAATTTACTTTTGTTCGACTATAAATATCGATTCACGATCGGTTAAATTACGATTGCTCACTCTCCTTCTTCTCTGCACGTCATATTGTTTTGCTTCGCTTTCCGATCAACAATATATAACATACATACATACATATGAAATATACATATTCAAAATCCATTCTCGTATTAGGCTTATTTGATTCCGTTATTTATCAACGCTAGTTAAGTCGACAATTATATTAAGAAGATTGACAACATATAAATATATTTCGATAACGATGAGAAACGGTCTGATGTTGGGCCACTAAAAATCAGTAAATTAGCCATTGGTTCTATCTTTTGTTTCTTAAAATCCAATACAATTGAGATTCGACGTTTGAATATATACGTAGAATCATCCGTTTAACCACTGGGGTCACTATAGTGTTTCATCAATTAACTCGGAAACCTGAATAAGATCAATCGTAAATTAAACTTTAATATACATAATATGTTACGCTAATCAACTTTCTAATGAATCTTATCATGATTTTGTTTTGTTTTCTCCCCCCCCCTTTCTTTTTTCTTTCCTATCAACTATATTCTAGAATAGTTTAATTTATATAAAACGTTTAGAATTGAATAATGCTGCATTAAAAAGTAAATTTTTAGATCATGTACGTTTATTAAGAGAGATACGTAATGAAAATGTCAATCCATTAATTGGTTGTTATGTTGATATTAGTGCGTTATGTCTAGTATTTGATCATTGTACAAGAGGAAGCCTAAAAGTAAGTAAAATATGTTTCTTTTTTTATCTGGTTTAATTTTTTTCTGTTTTTTCTTTTTCTTCTGAATAAAACTTATGTCACAAATGGTCTACCAGTTAAGTGCTCTGGCGCGAGACTGGTAGGTCATGGGTTCAAATCTCTCAAGACGAGGTCGTGGATGTGCACTGGTGAGGAGTCCCACAATAAGACGAAACGGCCGTCCAGTGCTTCCAGGTTTTCCATACTGGTTTAGATTCAATTGACTCGATTTCAACTATGAAAGATGGATATTTCTTTTCAATTAGTTTTTCATCATGGCTCTACATTAATATATATATATGATTTACAATAATGAAATGACACTCCTCAAGTAGATACGTTACGTAATAATTATACGATGACATATCGATTTTAAACTAACATTAATTATTTGGAAGAAAGAGGATTAATACTAATCAAAATAACTATTCGAAAATCAAGCTGTTGCTACGTTACATAATATATAAAAGAGAAGGAAGAACTAACAAAATATTTTGATGAATGGTCAGTAATAAAATAGTTATGTAAGAATCAAGAGACGGATGTAGAGAATAAGTAAAATACAAAAATGGAAGGAATAAAATAGTTGTTTACCAAAGTTCAGCTACAAACTCAGCCATACCGATGGTCAAGGTAGCGAGAGTGGTTGTACAAACTTTTTTTGGATACAAAGGTTAGGTTTGTGAATATGGATTGCGATGGCTTCAGCTATGGGCAACAGACGAACTCGTAAACCATGCGGCAAATTTGATGGAATATGGTAGATAATTTTAAAAGTTTTATTCAGTTCAACTTGAGGACCTGTGTCCACCAAGTGAGCGAGAATAGAACTCTTAATCACCTTTACCTGTCCTTTGCTCAACCACGACGGATGGTGTTCTGTTATTCGATGACGAACTTGCCGAATTGTATGTCATTATATAATTATTACGTAACGTATCTAATAGAAGAGTGTTATTTCATTATTGTAAATTATATATATATATATATATATATATGCATTTTCAAGGAATTATGATCGAATATAAATAGGTACATGGTTCTTTGGTTCATTGTACACTGCATAGGTCATCCAATCAACGTTAAAAATTGTCTAAACTAGGTATATGTATTAGTGTGTAAGAGATTTGTGATGTAAAATGATACGTGTTAAGATAGCATATTGTATATATGTAGAGAGCAGATATTTCATTCACAATATATATTGACTCCTGTCAGTGAAATTTTAAGAAAACATTCAATTTTTAAATTCACTTAGTATTACTTGTTTGAATCTTCCCACTGATGTTTAGGACTGCAACTGGTCAGACTCTAATTGTCATATGTACATACTGTGAGTATTGCCTCGATATTGCCTTAATTCACAAGCATTGTAAGCAAAGATGGATAGTGGCTAGCAGTGGAATCCAGGGCACGCATTTTGTCCTATTTGGGACTCGTCAGCTGGATGTATTTGCATCTGAGTAGATGTTGATGTTGATGTTCACTCTGGGAGTCGAACCCAGTACAATCTTTAATATATGATATGAATCATACATGTCATCTCATGTATAAAATGAAGATAAATAAACAAAATAAAAGATTGAAATTCGAAGAGAAAGAATGTAATTTGAAACTGAATATTTGTGTTATTTTAATGTTCCAATTAATTGTTTAACGAAATCCGATAAGACAACCGATTACAATCATTGAATGTTATTGTTGTCACTTAGATAATACGAGATAGATTAAACGGAAAGGAGTTCAGGCTATTACTTATTAATGATTAGCTGCCATGGCACAGCTAATTGTATTCCATCTCTCCTATTAATACTGTTTGGATTAGCGCATATGTATAAGGCTTCAGCTGTTTGTCTCTCCTAGTAAGAATTGAAGGCTTTTTGAAAGGTTTTTTGTACCATCGAAATCAATTGTATTATTTAAATTATTTAAATTTATCCGAGAATTTTACAGTTTACTCAAACAGTATTCAATATTAAACTAGATCAGTATATGTATTAGAGAGTTTCATCAGCCTAATTACTTTGCAAAGTTTATATTATATTAAAAGACTTTCAATATCCATTTCATCCAATGTATGCTTTCATAATGATGATGATGAAATGATGATACATGTAATCTATCCCTTTTATCTATCGTAATCGATTCACTACGGATAAATATTGAGTTTGATGTTGATTGGGTAATAAGCCTATGATAATCTTTGTTCTCGTATTTTGTTTCATACAATTCATACAACCTATAAATAACTTTTTTTTACAATTTAACGTATATTATATTGCATCTTTTGGTTTTCACTTCAGTTTAAGGTAGCAAAATACAAAAATTCTCAGTTTCTTCATTCATTAATCCTTAGCTTAAAATTAAAATGATTAGATTTTTCAGTAAACTCAACGTAAAGCAAAACTAATGTCATCAATCAAACCCTAAGTATCAACCTGTCAGTCTTGGATATCAGTTGATAACTCCGCTGACCGATATTACCATTCTCATTATTAGGTATTAAATAATATAACGTTATCAAGAAAACACTCCCCATAGTTCCATTCCACGTCAGTTACTAATAATGTGTTTGCTAACAACTATTAGAGTAGCAAATTCAAGCTTACGAGAGTGTCAGCTTAATTAAGATCAAATAAAAAATGACTACCCCCTAATATACGATATCAAGTACGTACGAATATCTTTGTAAGACACTCCATTCATTTGATTCAAATCGATTGTTATGCAACCCACTTTTAATATCTGAAATTATGTAACTCTCCTATTTTTTAAGTAGATTACTTTATCTGTTAATAAACCACATTACGACTGTACAGTTCGAATAAATGATATAGTCGAGAAGAAACTTTTCTTTACTGAATTGTCATGAACCTTTATTATAATGCTTAAGATGAACCAACTTAATTATATGAAGTAAATTCATCCTGAAATTTGGAAAAAGAAGAGATGAAAGCCTTTCTTCCTTCCTTAAATATCCTATCAATATTCAGTCATATTGATATAAAATTTATCTATCACTATATGTCATACTCTTTGAATTTGTCTTGAGATTCTTTTTTTTATACATTCAATAAAGAATATTTCAAAAAAGAGGTATATATAGAATAAAGACAGAAACACACCTGAAACTGTATTCTCTTCTTTTTTTTTGTTGAATACTTTGAAATGCTGAACTTTACAGTTAAGGTTACATCTAATTGTTTATTCAGTTTGATAAACACGCAAAAGTTATATATATATATATAACATTCGATAGTAATATACATTTATGCAAATAATCTAGTATAGGCAGGTACTGTATACATTCTATTGGGATAATTCACCACGCCTTGTATCTATAACAACGTTTACAATGATGATGAGACTTGTTTACTATAGATATAGTTCGTATCAATACATATTTTCCAGGTTTATTTTTTTTTGTGTTTTAACTTTTGAATATCGTAATTATTCGAATATAGAATTGGCAACATTTTGTTTCCAAGAAGATATTGAACGTTTCATCTCTTGCTTTGACTGAGTAATTTCATCAATGAAATAAACTTTTTTTTTCAAAAAAATCTGCATATGATTACCATTCAATCATGTAATGAAAATAGTAGTTGGACATTTTTTTCCCTTCAATTACATTTAAAACACAGGCGTTTTATTTTTGTTTCTATGAAAGTTTAGTTTCTTTCGTGATTTATACAATACTATATAGGAAAGAACCTTTTGTTGTGAATATTTCAACCAGAAAGTAAAATATAAAAAACTAGTTTTACATTTGATGAATTGTGTGTTGTTTTCTTTAAATAAGTGAAACTATTCAAAAAAGAACATTGTTGTTTTTCATGTGTGTTCTTCCCCTCTACATGTCTTAAGAAGCATTCATTCGTTTAAATTGAAATATTTAGATTAAAAATAAAAATAAAACTTCTTATTAGTTGAATCTTTTTTTTACCTTTTTAGTATACTTGGTTTAGACAAAGTTTTGTATATAATCTGTGATGATGGTGGCTAACGATGGAATCCAGGACGCACATTCCAGTTCCGAAATGAACATCAACTTTAGGATGCTGGTACATCCAGATTATAAGTCCTAAATAAGACGAAGAAAAGCGTTTTTGATTCCATTGCTAACCATCATCTATCTTTGCTTATAATGCTTACGACTAAAGGTAATATCGAGGCATTCCACATAGGATGCATATATGCCAATAAGAGAATGATCAATTGCAGTCCTAAACATCAGTGGGAAGATTCAGGCAACTAATAGAAAAATGAATTAAAGTTTCGTGCATTTCAGGAATACTCAGACACAAATGCACCACCTATTTAAGTGTAAATTTCACAGCCCAAATTAAAATATTGACATTTGAAAAGAACTGATCAATAATAATACAGGTGATAAATTGATGATTGTAAGTAAAATTAAACAATCCATTCAGACAACTTTGCGTTATTTTCGAAAAGAGATACTCAGAATTATCATATATCACTTGCTGGTATTATTAACCGGATTATGGCTGGTTTTTCATCAATTTTAAGTATTCATTATAGAATAATTCAAGCTTTTACTGATAATTATTTAAACAACAAATCAATGAGCGACTGGATTCATTAGCTCAATGGATAACCCATCGGTATTCAAAACAAATAACACTGGGTTTTAGTTAAATTGTGACAACTAACCTAGTGGAGTGTTGAGGCATACAGCTGACAATGTGGTGTGTGTACTACTAATGTGTCATCAATCGAAAGTCAAATGCCTGAAAGTAGAAGGCTACAATTTTGTTTTAAAATAAATACGATTGCCCCACTTATGTTCTCATTCACTATGACAATGCCAGGAAAGAAAAGAAGACATTCACCTTCCGGTCACCATTGATAGCTATAATTCATTTGATCAAATTTATCTAATTCAGTTATTATTCAAACAAAGTGAAAATGACAATATTTATTGATTAAGATGAATTCATAGTGTTCTGTTGAGATTTCTTCACACTTAAACTCAACTTAATGAGATTAATTAATTTAAGGTATTAAAATAAATGTAAATTATGAAATGGATCATTCATTAAGGAACTACTGTAAACAAACTCATTTTATTACCAAATAAATCATTATAAGCAAAGATGGATAGCATCTAGCAGTGGAATTCAGGACGCGCGTTTCGTCCTATTTGGGACTCATCAGCTGGATTTATCTTCATCTCAGAGTTGATGTTCACTCTGGGACTCGAACACAGTAGCTTTCGCTTCAAGCACCATCGCGTTATCCACTCAGCTACTCAGTCCTGATAGCCACTTGCTTGTGCAATGGGGTGAAGTTTATATTCACTTAGTATCGTTTGTTTGAATCTTCCCATTGATGTTTAGGACTGCAACTGGCAACTGGCTATCATGACTCAGTAGCTGAGTGGATAACGCGATGGCGTTTGAAGCGAAAGCTACTATGTTCGAGTCCCAGAGTGAACATCTACTCAGATGCCAATACATCCAGCTGACGATTCCCAAATACGACGAAACGCGCGTCGTGGATTCCACTGCTAAACACCATCCATCTTTGCTTATAATTCTTGTGAATTAAGGCTATATCGAGGCACATATGCTAATAAGAGACTGATCAGCTGCAGTCCTAAACATCAATGAGAAGATTCGAACAAACAATACTAAGTCAAATTATATCATTAGTTTAAACTTGTAAATGTTAACTCTGATGAGAAGTTATGAAATAGAATGTCCTTTTTTTGTTTTAAAATATGTATATTTGTAGTTTCGGTTGTTATGTCAAGCTCCTTATTTAACAGCGTTACCCAAACGTTAACAATTTATCTATTTCTTTGTATTATTATGATCACTATCATGTTTGTGTAAACGTATCTGCTTGAATCCTATTAATTACATTTGCTTAGTCTATACCTTGCCTCGCTTTGATTTGACTATAAATATTGAGTAACCCTTAATTGAAGTAAATTAGATAACATGCTTTCTCTAATTTGTTTCGCTTGCCTCTGTCTCTGATTGTTTGTGCTGATCAACGATTAAACAAAATATACGTATTAAATACTTCATTCTTGTATTTGACTCGTGTAATTCCGTTATTCACTAACGCAAGTTAAGTCAATAATTATATGCCAGGATTGGCAGCATGTATATAAGTCGAGAACAATAATCATACGATCAAATTGGAGTCAGATATGCAGGAACACTAAATATTTATACATCAATATTTAGAAACATAACGTATAAAATCAAAATTACTTGTTGATGTAGTATTAAATAAAATTCCTCTATAGTAAAATAAGTTGATAATAGCCCTGTCAAATCAAAAGCTCAGACCAGAAAATGAATGAATAAAGGAACTTCACAGATGCACCCCTTAATGAACGATAACAATACAATGTCACAAACCAGTAAAGTTTCTTGTCCTTGAATGAATGTCATATAAACTTACTTAAATATGTATAAGGAAAATTGAACTTATCACAACAATTTCTATTTTTGGTATCGACTATTTCTTATTGTAACCAGACATAAAGTAGTGAATAAAGTCAGTTTCAACATTCAGTCTAACATCTGAATGATCATATAACAAACCGTGAATAAATGGATTTCAATGAATAAAACGCTGATAGGAACGGCAATTTTTATCTTCTCGTAAACTTTAGGTATATGAATGTTATCGAAATGTTAGTAAATAATATATATCGCGATTCATAGGGAGAAACTGATGGATCACTAACTAATGATTGTTACTCATTGGTAATAAACAGTGTGGTATATATTGATGAGATCGTTTCCTAGTTTTTGATGAATATTATCCATGTATTGAAAAAAAATCAAAATCCTGTTAATCAAAGCAGGGGTAATAATATGGTCAATGAAAACAAAAGTGGGGGTAATCAAATATATTTGGATACAAAATTACAGAACATCTTAGAAAAATCTGAGCACTATATCGTAAATACTTCACTTGCAAAAAATATCAGTCAATTGTCTCAGACTTGATTGTTCCTTCATCTTCACACCAATCATTCTCTGTTCTCGTTTTCTTTTCTGTGGTCTTCTTAACATTCTGCCTCCAGGAATTTCACTATTGATTGATGATACATACTACTAATACCTCCTAAGATCAGTAGCACACACCACAATAACTTGATTTTGAATAAATCCTCCTAAAGTATGCATATGAACATTGTATATACACATATATATAATGTTTGTATGAATATAATTTATAAGGCGTCTAACTTTAAGTAATATAGTTATCTACATGCAAAAGTTCTAAAAATTACTTAATTCATTGTGTTACTCGTTTTGGTTTTATACTATCAATAAAACACTGTACCAATACCAAAATCTGTTCATTTTCTTTCTTTCAAGGATATAATCAAAAAAGAGTCCATAAATTTAGATTGGGAATTCAAACTTTCCTTAATAACGGATGTTGTCAAAGTGAGTGATATTTTGAACGTTTTATTTGAGAATAAATATTAGTTCCTTTGTAAGACTTCTTTCGAATCAGAATAACTGTCATACTGTTTAAAACAAAAAAAATGAACGAAAAATAGTGATTGCAGTATTTCCACAGTTCGATTCACGAGTTGATCTAAGTTGGACCATAATTGAAAATCTGAAATCACTGGACGGGCGTTTTGTCTTAGTACGGAGCTCCTCACTGGTGCGCATTTACGATCCCGCAGATTGAATTCGAACGTATCTTTCAGAAATATCTTTCAGAAATACCTTTGAAAATATTTTTAAGGGATTGAATCTTATACAAATGAATAAAAGTAAATCCAAATCTTTAAATAACCGATTGTATCAACGAAGAAAAATGAAGAACATTCAGTGAATATATATATATATATATATATATATGCGCCACACAAAAATTTGTCATTTCATTTAATTGTGTGAGAATTATGATACTGCCCGGGTGCCCAGACCGAAGCAAGTGCTTATCTTAAAGGGCCACACCCGGAGCCTTTGACCTAAAAGTCTGATCCACAATATAGTGGAGAATCGTGAGGAGATGCAGTCCCATGGTAGTCGGTGACCAATGATTGATTCATACTCCAATTGTTCCTTCAGGATACTAGAGCCCATGTGCACCATTGGTTTAGAATCAGGGTTTTCCAACTCCCCTAGGTGGACTTTCCGTGTCCAACAATCCGGTTAAAGCGCCGGACATTCGCTTTTTGTCCTCTCAGTTTCATAAAAAACACCTTCTGAGCGAGAAGGTAGTGTGTAAGACTTCCCTGGTAGAGGGTGTATACGCGTTATCGTGTGAGAGCATTTCGAGAAAGAGGGCGGACCCTCCGCATTCTCGGCCGTACCAGGGCATTTGCAGGCTTTTTTTAACGAAATCATTTGCTTAAGCTGTACATTCATATTTATAGTTGTATGGTGAATATATGTTACAGAAGGGAATTAGGGCCAAGAAAGGATGACATATTGGACGTCTCGTTTTTGCATGCATATTTCGGGCTTGAAATCTGCTCAAGATGCACATATTTTAACAGAAACGGATTCAATGTCTTTGTGAATGGTAACAACGAAGAATTAAAAATAATTTTACTACTACATTGATATCTGTGAAAGATGACAGATGCAGTTGTTTATTAAATATTAATATGTTGGGATTTGAGATAACATGTACTGATTACAAATCTTTATGTGAGAATGAAACTCACATACTGAACTTGTTATATCGGGAAGAGAATCATGAATGGTAACTTTTGAGGACTTTTTATGGACCAATATGATATGTATATTTCCTATTGTATAACTGTTATTAACTAAACTATTCATACTTTTGTCCCTCTTATTATTACTGCCTCCCATATTCACAGCCACATTTGGCTGAATCTTGTACAAATGTAATTTTCTTGCAATAGTCATTTAAAGTAACTTTTTATTATCAGAAAGGGGTTTTATGGATATTATAGTAATTTAATAGTTGACTTCCTGAGTCGATTGGATCTAGACGATGATGGAAAACCTGGAAGTATTGCATAGCAATTTTTTCTTAATGGCAGACTCATTTTTATTGTTTTCTGTAATCGGAATACAAATGCTTAAATGTATGCTAACTAGTGACTGGCTCCATGAGGTATTTCCTAGAGTTCTAATGAGAAGCAGTGACCATTGAAGTTCAACCAAGTCTGTTGTGAGATAGTAACTTACTGAAGACAATGTTTGACGGTGGCACAATTTCGTGGATTGGTTGAAGTTAGACAATAACACCGTTGAATGCCGGCCCAGTGGTCTAGTGATTAAGTGCTCACGCGCGAAACTCATAGGTCCTGGGTTCCAATCTCGTGAGGCGGGATCGTGGATGCGCACTGCTGAGGAGTTCCGCAATGGGACGAAACTGTCGTCCAGTGCTTCCAGGTTTACCATGGTGGTCTAGCTTCAATCGACTCATGATTTCAACTATATAATATTAATGTATTCTTGCGATTATTTGCATTCTTACTATACATTAACATCTAAATAGTATTTGTGATATATCAAAATTACAATTGCAACAATATCCATTGTATAGCAAATGAACCATTATATAAATATATTTATTTATTTATTCAAAAGGGTATGAGATATATTCATTCATGTCCAATTAAAAAACATGGTTGGCTTAAATCTACAAATTGTTGTGTAGATGGTCGATGGGTTGTAAAAATAACCGATTATGGATTACCAGAAATTTTTGGTATTTATGGTACTAACAGAAAGATGAAAGATGAAGGTATGTGACAGTAAAGTTTATTATTTATTTTGTTGTTTTTATATTTTTATCAAATGATTATTTAACTGATCTTACAACAAGAGTTTATTTATATAAATCCATATCTGAATATTATTATCAAGTATTTGTGTTTATGTGCTTTGCACCCTCTAAGTGCAAAGTACTTCTACAAGACTGGCAGGATTCTAATCCTGTACTCACCCTGGATGTTGAGCAGATTGAAGTAGTTAAGAAGTTCGTGTATCTAGGTAGCTATATAAGTGCTGGTGGTGGCGTGAATGATGAGATTGATGCACGTATAATGAAAGTCTGAGCGGCTTATGCCAATCTGTGCCATCTTTGGCGCCTTCGTGATGTTAGTCTGGCTGTAAAAGGTTGGATCTACAACTCGTCGGTGAGAGCAGTTTTGCTCTATGCTTGTGAAACCTGGCCTCTCCGAGTTGAGGATGTTAGACGACTCTCTGTGTTCGATCATCGTTGTCTCCGAAGGATTGCTGACACCCAGTGGCAACACTATGTTAGTAATGCAGACGTTCGGCATCGTGTGTTCAGGTGCAAAGACAATAATTCAATTGGTGTCACCATCTTGAAACACCAACTTCGGTGGCTTGGACTTGTTCTACGAATGTCGTCCCAGAGACTTCCACGTCGTGCATTATTTGCCGACTCTGGGACTGGTTGGAAAAAGTGGAGAGAAGGTCAGTGTATGGCATGGTGTCGTGGTATGAAAGATGCAAAAAGATAGCTTTTGTTGGTTCTTCACGATTCCCTGGTTGGGGTCCGAGAGATGGTGCAACATAGTAGCTAGGGACGTTATCAGATATGGTTCAAAATAGAAGCCAGTGGCAAGCCTGTAGTTTTTTCTTTTACTTTCTACATAAAGAGTGGTTCTAATTTTCTTAGCTGAAAGAGTTTTCCGGTTGTACATTTCAGTCCGCCTTATCTTTTCATCCCTTCTCTTCCTATTTTCATTATTTTGTGTGGTGCATATGTATCTGATGCCCTTTTGTACCAATATGTATGTGTATAAATAAATAAATAAATAAATAATCAAAATAATTAGGTGAGCTTATAAGTTATGGACGACATTTGAGAGACGCTAAACTGACCTTGAGAGTATCCACCTAATAACCAGGAACAAATGAGGGTTATAAACCTCTGTGAGGAATTAGAATTAGGATTTACAGTTGATGATTAAAGTTAGAAATCAGATTTAGGATTTTCATCACAAACTGACATCAACTATAATGTCAAAATTCTATTTAGTCCAATGGATAAATGAATTTTGCGCCAAGATCCAAGACCTGTTATCCTATACGTGATTGGTTCATCTATAAATTATAGTCTCGTCAATAATTATTAACTTAAATGTATTATGAAGAAACAAATGATTTGTTAATATCATTGGAGTCACTAAAGATGACCGAATTGATCTAAACACTGACTATACGTCAAAGATCAGTAGTATTGACCAAATGAGTAAATGTACGTCTGTAGTGAACGAGAACACAGGTGGAGAGAACCAAATATATTCTGATATAACGTTAAAGAACATCTAGCTAAAATCTAAGAACCATACAGGTAATTCTTAGTTTTCAAAATGTTCATTATTTGTCTCAGGTTTTATTGATCCTTCATTTCCATACCAATCAATCTCTGTTCTCGTTCTTTTCTTTTCGATTTTTTCAACCTTCTACTTCCAGACATTTCACTTTCGATTGATGATTTATACTAATTATATCTGTCAACATCAGTAGAACCCGCCACACTCCATATTACATTAAAATACATTTTTCATACCCACATTCTGACGCACAAATTATTATAGTGACATATTGTAAATATTCACCTTAAGCGAAAACAACTTGACATTGAAATGTTCAGATATATAATGATTGCGATTGTACTTAAATTATTCTGCATTGTTTCCTATGTACTATTTATTTAATCTAAAGAGGCGGCTTAGATGAAGTCACGAGACGTCAGAAATACAGTTTTCTGCTCACCGAGATATCACAAATCATATATTTATTATTAATGTGTTGGATCAGTTTTTAACATAATTTTATTTATTTAATAAATTATTTACTTTCATTCTCATTTTGCACTCCTATGCTTGGTAATTCGGTTTCAGTTTATTCCTTTATTATTCTCAGTAGAGGATTGTGGAGGTTGTTGAGTCTCAGTTAAGATCATGAATCAATCAATGTTGGAACACTGTTGAAAATCTGGAAGCACTGAATGTCCATTCCGTCCAATTATGGGACTCGACAATGCACATACGCGATCCCTCACACGGGACTCGAACCCAGAACCTTCGACTCTCCAGTGCTTTCAGTTTTTCAATGGTGGTCTAACAATGATGCATTCATGATATCAGTCTAAATTCTGGGTTATTATTTTCACAAAAATTGTTTCTATTCACAATGCTTGATGGCCAGTTACACTGTATTCTAACATTCTTTAGTGAAGTGTTGTTGACTTGCATATGTTGTACATAGTTATACTAGGCTCCGATATCTATTTACAAACACTTACTGTGGGAAATAAATTAAAATGATGATCATCTCTAGTGCTTTTATTATAAGGAGTGTTCATATTCTGTGACCAATACAAAAATGATACTTATTCGAAGAGTATTGTACATTAATAAGATTTGTTGGCTTGTATATTTTCTAAACACTGTAAAATTAAGGAATTAAAGTGATCAATCGGCAAACTTAATGTGATTTTCAAAATTTTCATTGCTGAGTTGGTTTTTAAAACAGTAATATTATCGCTTCAATTGTCAGACTTCTGTAACTGCTGATACAAATTTCTTGAGTAAATCCATCATTCAATCAACCATTATTTGATACAATAAAAACCAATTTTTGAATTGTTTCGTTATGAAGCAAATTTGGAATATTTCACTTAAATTTAGGACCATACGCACTCAATAAACGTCAAATATCTATTTGTAGGCCAATCATCGGTAAACTCAAGGAATTGACTCTAGATCGGAAAATCACTAATTTTCATAGTTTAAACCACAAACTTATTTTGATTAGAAAAACATCCAAAACCTTGGAGTACTGGATGGATGTTCAGTCGCAGTATGGGACTCTCCAGAGTTGCGTATCTGCAATCGACATCCGGGAAATGAACCCTGCACATTCGACCTCGTGTATAAGCACGTAATTTCAAGACAACTAAACCGGTATTCAACGGTGATAATGTCAAAATCTAACGAATTCACGATATTATACAACCTTCATCTAGAATTTTCAGAAATTCTTTCTAAAATCTAATTTATATGTATATGTTTCCTTTTCGTTTTCTATTGAAACAATAAATCCAGAATGGTTATGGACAGCACCAGAACATTTACGTGAAGAAACAAATATTTATACTGGCAGCCCGAAAGGTGATGTTTATTCATTCGCTATTGTAATGCAAGAAATTATTACACGAGATGAACCTTATGGAATGCTTGGATTAACTGCATCAGAAATATTAACTAAAGTTCGTAAACCACCACCACTGTGTCGACCGAAAGTAAGTATTGAAATATTACTATATTAGTTGTTACCGCGATCCTAACAAATAATTGAATTGGTCAGTAATATATATATATATATATATATATATATATATTGTTGAGATCATGAGTCAATTGAAGCTAGACCACCATGGAAAACCTAAAACCACTGGACGGCCGTTTTGTCCTATCGTGAGACTCTTCACCAGTGCACATCCAGGATCCCTCACTGCTGACGAGTCCCACAATAGGACGAAACGGCCGTCCAGAGCTTCCAGGTTTTCCATGATGGTCTAGCTTCAGTTGACCCATGATCTGAACTCCATGAAATCACTTAAATGTCCACAAAACCCCCTTCTGATAAATATACATATATGCATATATATATATATATATATATATATATATATATATATATTGATTTTAGACTGTCGGAAACTTGTGTCCATGATAGGAGTTATTGATTATCAAATAATGGGTTCTATTCAGGCGAAATTCATTTTAATTTATTTTGGTCATGTAAATATGTCTTCACATCTCATCCTAATTTTATACTATGTATCGAGTCATATCAGTTCAAAGGCTATTTCCAAGGAATAAAGTTTTGCATTATAGCTAGTCTAGATTGTACATACAATCGAAATAATAAAAGGGGTTTGTATTTCACTCACCAACAGTCATGGTCTGAATAACACTGTTCTCAGTTATGTCATTGGCTAGTATTATGATTATTCATTCTTGATTTTGATTACTATTAAAAGAAAGAAACCAAATAGGTACACTGTGAATTCTGTAATTTACATAACTTCTAAAATCTTAAAACATTTTCAAAATTAACATGTAAATCCATTATGACAACGGTACTCAAATTAGTTTGTGAAGTGTGCAACTAAGTTTTATACACCACTTCAATGTAAATGAGGTAAAGAATGCTGAGTTTAATGTCAATTAAACTGGCTTTAGGTACTAAATATATTGTGACCATTTCAATATTATGACTTATATGTAGTCGACAGTTCCTTTATGACTTTAGTAATTGTTTCCCATGGTATCATAATGTAAAATTTTGTTTTAATAAGTATGATATTTTCAGATTACACATCATCATGAGATTTGCTATAATCGGCATCAGTCTATAATCATTTTTATCCGTTATATATATATGTTCAAACTTATGTACTAATAATGTATGTGTTACTTATATCGACATAAGTAGCATATAACGCTAGTCAGAAATAAAATTTCTGACAGTAGAACCTCAAGAACATCGAGAAGGAAAGAACAGAAACAGAAAGCAGTTAATATAGAAATGCAAGAACAATAAATTCTGAGACGATTGACTGGTATTTTCAAAAGGAACAATTAAGTTTGAGACAACTGATCAACACCTTGCGAATGAAGTATTTGCAATAGGATTCTCATGTTTTACTTAGATATTCTGTAATTTTATATTCAAATGCATTCGATTGTCCCCACTTATGTTCTTGTTCACTACAATAATAACCTGAGATGCATCTTGAGTAATTAGATTACGAAACACCACCAACCTTAAGTAGTAATTTTATCTCTTGTACACTAATACGTAATTGTATATTCGAATTCGGGAATACATACAGACAACAGTATACAATGTCAATATTTCATCAATGAATGATATTTAATACAATCTTATTAAAAAATAACATACAAATTCTTCTAATTAATGTTTTATTCAATGTAAGACCATGAACTATTGAAGCGTTTCCAATGAAAATAAAGTGGCTTTCTGATGTTCATCTGTACTCAAACATTTCTCAAGAAAAATTGTTCACCAGAGAAATTTTAGAAGTGATCTGGCTTAAGAGTTCGCACGCTGAACTGATAGGTTCTGTGTTCGAATCCCACAGGGTGGGGTCGTGGATGCTCAGTGTTGAGGAGTCCTACAATCGGACGAATCGGCCGTCCAGCGTTTCTAGGCTTTCTACGGTGATCTAGCTTCAATTGACTAATCAACTCAATTAGTAAACTACTATAATAACCACAAAACCCTTTTCCGATAGTAATTTTTTTCTTAAAATAACGAAATTTTTAATTCCCTCTCATGTTTAAAATTTTCATGTATTATTTTGGAAATTAAGGTTTCACAGTCTGAAGCTCCTCCAGCTTATTTAGAATTTATGAAACGTGCATGGGCAGAAAGTCCTGTAATGCGACCAACATTTGAAGAAATCTATCAACAACTTAGACAACTCAATCAAGGAAAGTAAGTTTAATGAATGATTCTGACCTTAATCATCAATAAATTTACATGAGGAAAATGTATGGAACAAAATTTGGCTAATTGCTTCTTTTTAGTGAGTCCAGTAAAGAAGTTACATTAAGTAGTAAGCCGTTTCAAAGTGATCTACTCAATATATTTTGGCAAAATCTGCCCATTGTCAGCCTTCCACACTCTGAACATCACAATGAAAGTTTTTCCATCATTTAAATTTCACGAAATAAGCTTATACTTGGATCCATGAAGTCAAAATGCGCTCAGAAATACATACGAAAAATAAACAGAAAGCCAATAAACACCATTGTACATACTTTTCATTTGACCTTATATTGGTTAAAATGTAATCAACATTACTATATCGACTTTCATAAATCTTGTTTTAAATTTGTATGTCACATGTGTTTTCTGTTAAGTTACCATGGTTTTGTTGTTCTACGTAACAAATTCGTTTCATATTATAACTAGAGCATGATTTTCACAAAGATAAACTTACAGGTTAACGTTTATTTGATGGAGTTTTGTTCTCTGATCTGGATGGTTTGGTCGTGGAGCTTTCACTGTTCTTCTGAACGACAACATCAGCACAAACTTAAGGTTAACCATATGATAGGGTACTATGTTATCTGGTTTCTTAAAATGATTACAATGAATTTATTTTTCTACCTCTAAATGCAAAACATTAGCCATCAATTTGTGAATACTTAAATCCATTTTTAAATGTTTGTTTGAAAAGCCTGATGCTACTTTTAAAACTAAAATTTTTATTTCTTTAGCTAATTTCATTTAAAAAAGTGCTTCAAAAAATAACTGTTAACTTAAACTATCGATAAATTTCAGATTATCTAAAGTTCTGGTATTAACAATTATGATAGGTGTTGTGATGGGAGGTGTCCGAAATATGACACTAATACACGACGTACTACGCGCTAACCCCCCAAATAACTATTTAAGTAAGAACACAATAGTGAACGAAAAATTCTATTGGGCTGCTAAATAAAATGCACAAATACTCGTTGATATATATATAGAACTCTACCCCACAGAAAATCAATCTATTCCTTAGCCGAATATATGTACTTGTACTTCAGGTCACTTCCGATGACAATCGATTGATCTTCTCATTTGGCTATTTCTGATTAGCTAACCATATAAATTGGTATTTGATCATTCAGCGTTTCAATGAATTTTACATGTTTAAGATCGATAGCAAACAATTTAATATTGATAACTTCATGAGCCACAAATCAAAAAAGGAAGATTTACTCCAGTTTTCTTTTGAGCTTCTATGACATATTCATTCCCTTTAGTTTACAGGTCCTCACCTTATATGCAAATTAAACATGAAGTGAATAACTCAACAAGTGTAGGACATTCGAACCATATACTAAGCTTTATTTAGAAATATCTTAATAAATATTTATATTATTATTTGAGACCAATATGAAAAGGTCTTAACGGATTCGTTTATTTTAGAAAAATCAACATCGTAGATCATATGTTCAAGATGATGGAAAAGTATTCTGCTGACTTGGAAGATCAAGTACGTGTTCGTACAGAAGAATTGGAAACTGAAAAGAAAAAGACTGAATTACTAATAGCAAGAATGCTTCCTCCGTAAGTCTTAAATAAATACAATAATTAAATTTAGTTACTGGTTTAACGAAGTTGGGTACTCTGAGTAATATGGTTTAATTATGAAGAGTTTTCTTTCTAAATAGCGTTATCAGAATAAAATGTAGTGTGAACATTTATAGTAAACGTTTCTGAGAAGTTCAGAAAGAAATGTGTCAATAAATGCTATTGATCTTTGGTTGAATTCATTGCCCCCTCATCAATCGCCTTACTATCATTTTACAATTTATATGTATTCGACATCATGCACTAGTGAGACGGTGGTTCAATGTCCTGATCATCTAAGAATTTGTTCTAGTTCTTTTTTTATTGATTTTATGTCTTCTCAAACACGACTGATCCCACTGCATAAGTAGTGTACTATGTTCTAGTGAAGATTAAATTACGGGTGACTTCTGAGAAATATTAATGAACTATTAAATATATATATATATATATATATATATATATATATATATATACTCCATTGTATAACTTCAGTAACTGGATTATGCATATCTATATTCTTCTTATTATAAGCTTCATTTTGACCAATAGATTATTATACGATTTACTGTGCTTAAATTATACTCAGTTTATTAATTACCGTCTATCACATTCAAAGCCACTTTTTGGCTTGATCTTGTATAAATAAAGTTTGTTTGGCCGGTAATATAAACTAAGTGTTTATACGAATATTCGTCAAGGTTAGAACAAATACTTTGACAATAATTGGGCGCCAAGTATAGAGAATTCATTATATGTGAAAAATTATAATTGAAATAGTCTCAGCGATTGAAATTTAAATAATTCCAGCGTTTCGTCCAGCTAAGTTGTCTGGACTTCTTCAGGGAAAGAATCAAAATCATCAAAGAAATATATAGTTTTTTAACAATCATATCAAAATCTCTACTACTTTAATCCATTCATATTTGGATGACGAATTTTTTGTAAACTAAGTGTGTTTGAAATAAATGATACGCATAGTGGGAGTTGTTATTGGCGTTCTGGATACAACTGGATGGGCTAGGAGAATAAAGGACCAACAAAGATGCTAGGCTGCTCATACCCGTCGAACGTCATCGGTCTAGCACAGTACTAAGATTGAATAAGTCATATTTCGATCGCCGAATAAATCACGCGATAATTAGCCGAGCTTAAAGTCACAACATAGTGGACGGGAACTCAGGTGGTCAACACCAATACATTATTTAGTGCAAATTACAGAATACCATAGTAAAATATAAAAGCCATACATCAAAAACATCATTTGCACATCTTCCTTCAGTTGTCATTTACATGCTTTATGATTTTCCCAATTCTGTTGTTATTCTAATGGCTTTCTATTTCTCTCGCTATTCTCCTCAGTTCAATGTTCTCTTGTTAGGCATTCCACTTGAGATTGATGTAACATACAAATTTTATCTGTCACCATAAGTAGGTTAAACTACACAGATATTGCACAAAAATTGGATGATTATGACACTGCAAACGTTTCAAACTACTGACCTATTGTATAGTAAATATGGTGTCGGATATTTGCGGCCATGTCTAAATTGCATCATCAAAATTTAAAAAAATCAGTGTCATGAATATCAATTTTACTATATGTTAGGTTTCAGAACTAATCTCTCCAACCTGCTTAACTAAACAATAGTCCTACGCTCAACGCTAAGTGGATTTCAAATAGGTTATTGTTGACTGATGAAGTTTGGTTATGTCTACCTTAATATAATTACCACTGATCGAAATAAAAAATCTTTGTGTAGATTATTAGATTTCAACTTAGCTACCTAGGACAAAATAGACTGACAAATTACATTTTACTCTGAGAAGTTTTATCACATTCGGGTAATACATATAAAATTATATACAAATTAGACCAAATGTGGCTTGAACAGAAATTAGGATGCACGTTTCGTCTTGTTTTAGACTCGTCAGTTGGTTTTACTTACACACAAACCATGTCAAATCAAAAGATAAAAGTATAGTTTGAAATTTTACGTAAGTCAGATTAAACGTTCATTCGAATATCTGTTTATTCAGATTGGTTGATTGTTGAATAACTAATTTTAAAATGGCATAAATTATTGAAGTTCCCATATATGTTATTTGATGTGTTTTCTCAATTCCTTTCGATAATTAACCCTTTTGAATTTAATATGCTTGTATTCTTGGACACTATCTACATTTTGTCAAAACTCTATTATTTATTATTATTTAAAACAGTGTTGTAGCTGAAACTTTAATGTCTGGTAAAGCTGTTTGTCCTGAAGCATTTGATGAAGTGACAATCTATTTCAGTGATATTGTTGGTTTTACAACAATATCTGCATTATCTACACCATTTCAAGTTGTTGATCTGTTAAACGATCTTTATACAATGTTTGATTCGACAATTGACTTTTATGATGTATATAAAGTAAGCGTTTTGAATGAACTATGGATGTAAATTGTAAATACGTATGTTATAACTATGTTGAAAAGTGTTATTTGGTTTAAATATATTTTCCTGCTTAGAATTTATAAGTATTGCTTTAAATTGCTGATATCAGAATACCCTAGTTTGTATTTATAAATTCTGTCAGTTTGTGACATGGCACAACTTCTAGATCAACAGGCTGGATTCCGTAAGGATCGGTCAAGCGCAGATCAAATCACCACACCGCGGATCATTGTCGAACAATCAATTAAGTGGAACTCGTCAATAAACATCAACTTCATTGACTATGAGAAGGCCTTTGCAGTGTGAACAAGAGAACATCACTGAAACTTCTTCGATACCATGGAATTCCTGAGAAGATTGTCAACATCATCAAGAACTCATACAACGGACTGCAGTGCAAAGTCCTATATGGAGGACAGCTGGCAGACGCATTCCAATTGGCGACCCGAATCAGACAAGCTGTCTACTCTTCCCCTTCCTGTTTCTTCTAGTGGTCGACTGGATTATGGAGACCTAGACTTCTCAGAGAAAGTGTGGAATACAATGGACGACTCAAAATCATTTAGAAGATTTGGACTTCGCAGATGACCTGGCCATTCTATGCCATACACATGAACAAATGCAAATGAAGATAATTAGTGCAGCAGCAATTTCTGAATCAGTAGGCCTCAATATACACAAAGAAAGAAACAAGATCCTCAAATGCAACACAGAGAACACCAACTAAATCACACTTGAAGGAGAAACTTTGGAAGAGGTTGACAGTTTCACGTATCTGGGTATCACCATCGATGAAAAAGGAGTACCTGGTGCAGACGTAAAGGCGAAGATTGGAAAAACAAGGACAATATTTCTACACTTGAAGAACAAGATACTCAATCTCCGTTGACCAGATACCATCAGTAATAGCCTACAATGGGGTAGAGCAAACCAGCTTTAAGATGAAGAGGAAATTAGGCGTTGAAAGTGGATGGGACATCACTAGTTCGCATCACGAGACAAACTCAAACTTGAAATGAAAAAGAGGACGGCCGAAGAACACACTTTATCGAGAATTAGAAGCAGACAGCAAACAGATGAATAGCAACTGGAAAAAGTGAAAACGATTGTCCAGGACGGTGTTGTATGAAGACTGCTGGTGGACGGCCTATGCTCCTTCATGAAGAGTGAAGTAATTTGTTTGGAGTGAAAATTCATAAAAAAACAGCTTCGCTAATAATAAGGAGTTATTGATGTTATAACTAGGCGTTTCAATGGGTGAGAAAATAGTTTTGAAAAAACATGGGCTAGAAAAATACAGTTTTTAATTTAACACAAATATATATCAAGAATGAAAATTAATCAGACACTGATTCCTGACTGCTAAGATTCTTAGCTTGGAAAGAGTACACTCTCAAATTTAATTATTTGTTCTCTGAAGAAGTGGCTCACACTAAGTCACGAAACGTCAGGAAATCTATTGGTTGGGATATTACAAATATATTATTTATTTATGAAAATCTACCCGATGTCAAACCAGAACTTGGTAATGATACTTACACAAGTTTCTTATTCCCTTCTCTTCTCATATTATGATAATATATAATAATGTGTTGAAATCTTGAACATTCATTCAGTTAATTAATTTTTTTAAAAACTTTTTTGAGAAATTTACCTCATTAGATAATCTTTGATTATTCATATTAAAAAATTCAAAAGTCTTAGTTGTAAAGCTGAAAAAAATTCATTTAACAAAAGAGGTTTTTGTAGAGATTTCAGTAATTTTATTGTTGAAATCATGAGTCAATCGAAGCTAGACCACCATGAAAAACCTGGAAGCAATTGACGGCCGTTTCATCCTATTGTGGGATTCCTCAACAGTACGCATCCACGATCCCTTCTCGCGAGATTCGAACCCAGGACCTATCAGTCTCACGCGCGACTGCCTAAACTTTAGACCACTGAGCCGGGTTGGAATCTTGTGAGGCGGGATCGTGGATGCGCACTGCTGAGGAGTCCCACAATATGACGAAATGGCCGTCAGGTGCTTTCAGGTTTTCCATGGTGGTCCAGCTTCAACTGACCTATGATTTCAACTACAAAATGCATTTAACGTTGGAAGTAATGAGTTTTACCCCTTGCATATCACAGAGAAAATATTTTTTACAATTCAGCTCATCCAGACTTCCATCACAACTTATTAGTTGCATAAGAGAAATCTAGAATTTGTGATGTTCTATAGTTAATGTAATGATTTATGAAACTATCTCCTAAATCAAAAAATATATTCATCTATTTACTGTACGTTGATAAGTTTTGAAACACCAATTGGTGATTACTGCATAATGAACTAATTTTCTAATGCAATAAAATGATTCAAAATTGATAGTGCATCGAATTTATATGAAACTATACTTGCTTTTTTATTAAGGTTGAAACAATTGGAGATGCATACATGGTCGTCTCCGGTTTACCCATACGTAATGGTCAATTGCATGCGGGAGAAATAGCTACTATGGCTTTAGATCTATTGAGTCAATGTGGAACATTTGTAATTCGTCATATGCCGGATGTACCACTTCGTTTACGCATTGGATTGCATTCAGGTATATAAATTATTTTAACATGATTATGAGTTATTCACGTGAATGTCTTCGTACTGAAAGTGTAAAAAGCCTTAAATGGTGAACATCGGAATGCAGAGACATTCAGCTGATAAGTCCCTACTAGGACGAAAAGCGCTTTTAACTCCCCTACTACCCACAAATCGATCTATAGGATCTTTGATCGTTTCAGAACATTTATACTGTATTCTTTGTAACAGTAAATATATATGTATAACTTCTAACTAAATGTTGAATGGTCTTCACCTTCACTGATTCCTTTCAGTTGGAGTTGTTATTCCCAAGCTTTTAATTATTAATTATTTCAAAACATTGTGATCGTGCTACTTACTAATATTGTGTTAATAACCAAAAGATTCAGTTGGCTGTATTCTACTTGGAATACTGGTGACTTTGTTATCTTGAATGAGACTATCAATCATAATTTTACCCTTATTTTAATGCATCAAGCAGTAGTATTGATCGAAGCAGATGGAATTAACTTTTTTCTATACTATAGGTTCTTCACAGATTGTGATTAGTCTCTCTTAATAATAACCGCTTTACTAAATACTCCATGTTTGATTAGAACAAAGAATTCTTAGAATAAAATATTCATTACTCCTATAGATTCCTTTAAGACATATATTTCATTTGTATTTATGAAAAATTTGAATTAAAATATCTCCTAACAGTTCACTTAGTATTGTTTGTTTGAATCTTCCCATTGATGTTTAGGACTGCAACTGGCCAGTCTCTAATTGGCTAGTATTCTACCATAAACTTGCTGTAAAATTTATTTATAGTTATACAAAAGAATGGTCTAGAATAAAAACATGCTAACCATTTTAGGTCTTCTACATTTGTCTTATAGTACTTGAAAGCACAACAAATTCCGACCATTTTAGAAAAGCATACGTACTAATTTTCGCACTTTATAAATACATGATTACTTTATTAAAATAAATCTACAGTAGGGAACTTTAATAGATATACAATTTGAAAATAGAAATTCAGTTCTTTGATTGGTACTCCTTGATACAGTTGTGTGTAAAGTCTCAGTTGAATTTCTTCATAGGGATTAAATCATTTGACAAAACTAAACTATATTTATCTTATGAAAATCCTTTAAATATTTTACAAGCATTATGATGAGTATCTTAGAGATTTAATACTTTACTAAAAAGTATAATTCATTTATGAATTTTTGACTTTAGGATCATGTGTTGCTGGTGTAGTTGGATTAACAATGCCACGATATTGTTTGTTTGGTGATACAGTAAACACTGCATCTAGAATGGAATCAACAGGATCTGGTAAATTTTTACACAACTATACATATTCCAATATCTTGCTTACATATCAAATGATGTATCGAATTTGTGACAAAATTGAGAAACTTTATTTAACTTCTGTTATTTTTAATTTTCTTTTGAAGTGTCTACTGTTGAAAACTGTTCTAAAAACGGAATAATATTATCTAACATCTGGTTATACATTAGAAAAGTCTAGAAAACTCATATTAATATTCGTCTTTGTTGGTCATCAGGTTGACAAGTAGAAGTAAACAAAGATTAGTTGTAACAGGTTATAAAAGGTGTTGTAGATTAAATGTCATTAAATTATTAATGAATATGATAAGTCTTGCTAATTGAACGCTATACTCAGTTCCTAAGAGATTTCTGAGATTGCAGTGTGAAATTGTGACCAGTAGAATTCAACCCGATCAGGTGTGAGCAAGGTACTGACCAAAGACAATGGAAGGCCTTCGCTCACTATCGCAAATTAATCGCGGATAAAATTTCGTATAATTGGCAGCAGCTCAGTTCCCTAAAGGCCAAGCACTCAGTCTGTTGATCAAGGGTTCGATACTCAGTGGCAAGATTGTTGATGTGCACTGTTTGGTTGTCACAAACTATGATGAAGCGGCCGTCTTATGCTACTAGGTTTTCAATAGTTGCAAAACTAATATCAGTGCATGATTTCATTAGCGTTATCAAATTGGAAACACTTTCGAATTTCGATCATCTTGAAGTCGTTTATGTAGCTAGTTAAAAAGAACATTGGACAATTACGTTGTAATAAATTATATACATACGTTACATGTATTCACCTAAGATCAGACCAGCTTTCTCTTCATTAAGGTGAACTATATAATCACAAGCATTAGTTTATCAGTTAGACTATCGCAAAATCCACATAAGTAGCTTACTTAGAGATTTATTAGTAGCACACTGCGGCTGGTGAAAAATATTCGGTTAAAAATGATTTATATGTGAGTGATAATTCTCTACTTGATAAATACGAAGAATAGAATAATTATTCATTTTTGTGATAGTGACTTAATAGTTTTTAAAATGTGGAAAGGAGTGAGAAGCATTGAATTATTGAGAATGGAAGGTTAAAATAATGGCAGAATAAGAAAGTGAACATTCTGTTTTTGTAAACAAAACTTTGGCTAGATAGAAATCTAGAGCCTCTGCTATGCATAAGTTTATGATCTATATTCTCTTTGAATTAATTCTCTTAACTGTTAAGATGATTTCAAAGCAGGGTTCTGATATATCAGTTTGACCAGAATTAACAAGATATCCTAAGATTTAACTTTTGAATGACTTGTATAGTTACTTAGATAGCCAGGTAGAGTAACGTTTGTAGATGTGTTTCGAATGAGCTCGCTTTATGTCGCCAATATAACCTGTTCCATACAAGCACGTAATTTCACGGATGTATATTGGTTTGACCAAAAGTGGAGCTTTTCTTCTACGCAACTACTAATCAAGGACCGATTAGAAAAGATAATACGAAGTTCAGTCTAATAGAATGTCTTCCACAGAGATCTTCAGAGTCTGTCTTTCAGAATTTTCACTGCGAAATCTTTAAACTATATGTATATAAGGAAGGCCTTATTCAGTGTCAGTGGCAATCGTTCATACCTTTTTTTGGCTTCCTACTTTTGTCAATAATTTGTGGTGGACGGCAGTTTTTAGTTGATAAATGGTGAAGTTTATTAAGTTTGATGTCAATCATATCATCAGAACAAATTTGTTTATCCTTCATGAAGAGATAGTGAATAAGGTTTTTCTTTTAATTCAAAAGGACGCAACTTTAAAAATTTGTGCTCCATATTAACTTTCTATATTAGTGATCTTCGAAGAGAACCATAAAGTTTCTTTTTTTAACAAAACATCAATGAAGTGTCATTCTGACTTCAACCTTGATTCTTATTTATATTTAATTGATTGATAACACCTATTGAATTTGTTCAGAATGCCATCGAAATCTATATTTTTATCAAAAATGATCAAAATATTATCTAAATATAACTTGTATGAGATATAAATTGTCAATTATCAGTCTAATTATAGTGCTTTTGAGATTAACAATAAACAATTCAACTAGAAGTAAACAGAGTAGTGAAAATTGTTCAGCTTAAATAACTAAAATCATAGGAAAGATAATTTTCTTAGTTAAATCGTCTTTATTTATGCTTTCATGAGTTCCTTTATTAACTGATACGAAACTACCTAGAACTTCATGTTATAACATCTCAATACATTCGATAGAAATACTGATGATAACTTAGTAAATCGGACTGATACTCTAAGCATGGAACAGATTTCATAGCCCCAATTGAATGACAAACCAAATTTTAAACGAATAAATATCTACGAATATTACTTACTTATGCCTGTTAACCCCCATGGAGGCGCATAGACCGCTCACCAACATTCTCTCTTTCTCTCTCTCTCTCTCTCTCTCTCTCTATATATATATATATATATATATATATATATATATATATATATATATATATTGATCTTAACACATATAAGTAGTATATATCATCAATCAAAAGTGGAATAGCTGGAGGTAGAAGGTTAAGAAGATCGAAGAAAAGAGAGCGAAAACAGAGAGTGATTGGTGTACGAATGAAGGAACAATCAAGTTTGAGACAATTGATGAACATTTTGCAAATAAAGTATTTACTGTATAGTTATCAGATTTTACTAAGATGTTCAATGGTCCCCACTTGTATTCTCGTTCACTACACTATATAAAATTTACTAAACCAAACTAATTGCTTATAAATTATGTATCAATTAAAAAACGAAAATGGAGATGAAGATACTACTATCGACCATTCACAGTTTACTCTGTCTCTATAGAATTAAAATGAATTCAATTCATTATTACTTTGACTTATTCATTATGTATAAGTATAATAATTGTATGTTTATATTTATGTTTTCTAAAGCTTTTCGTATTCATGTTAGTCCAACTACAAAATCTATTCTGGATATTTTGGGCGGTTATCATTTACAATTACGTGGTAAAGTTGAATTAAAAGGCAAAGGTTTAGTTGATTCATTTTGGTTAATTGGAAAGGATAATTTCAATAAACCTCTACCTGATCCACCGCCATTAACTGAGTGAGATATAAAATTTATATTAAAAACTATTTTCTTATACATCATCTGTTTGATATGATTTTATTGATTAATGTAGTTTCTAGAGTAATCAAGAAAGAAATGTAGCGTATCATAAGAATTTAGGAAATGAATATACTTAGATTATTAAATTCATTATGCCCATTAAAACAATTAAACAAATATCATTATCTTCACTTGATATTGTTTACATAAATCTTCCTGTTGATGCTTAGGGCGCATAGTATGCACATATGCCAATAAGAAACTGTTCATTTGCAGTATTAAACATCAGTGAAGAAGATTCAAACAAACAATATCAAATGAATTTACACTTCAATCTATTCCAGAAGTTAGTGGCTATCAGAACCCAGTAGTTAAGTGGATAACTTGATGGTATTTGAAGCGAACAGTATTGGGTTAGAGTCCCAGAGTGAACATTAACTCTTAGATGCGGGTGCATCCAGCTAACGAGTCCCAAATAGGACTAAACGCGTGTTCTGGATTCCACCGTTAGCTACATTATTGAAATTTGTTTGGATCAGAATGCTAACGTCATAGAGCGATAAATAAATATTCCATTACAATACACGTATGTATTGAGTAGACTTTATAGGGTTCATAATAAAGGATAAAATAGATTGATGGTAAATAAACAGATCATCATATGGACTAGAAAATATATAGTGGACATAAAAAACTAAAAATGAAAGATGAAATCTGAAGTAAAATTATTAACCTTAGAACAAAACTACTGATATGCTTTTATCACTGAACAGTGATGTAACTTTGGATGAATTCATAAAATTAGAATTTAATTCTGGAAGTCAATCATTAAAGAAAAAAAACCATAATTAGGTAATATTCAGTTTTCCTCCACTTATATCAATGTCATTTACTTTAGGTTGAGACGTTTAACACCAAAACTTCCATACTTACTTACTTACGCCTGTTATCCCTAGTGGGGGAGTATAAGCCTCCCACAAGCATTCTACATCGAACTCTGTCCTGAGCAATCCTTTTCAGTTGTTTCCAGTTGCTATTCATCCGCCTATAACTCTTCTAGGGTTACTGCCGGTCCAAATTTCGAGTAAAGAAGGAGAGTTGGGCATAAGGTCTCTGAGTCCTCATCTCGTAGAAAACAAGCTTGTTAACAAAAATTGCTAACGCTTTCATAGCCACTTATTATTGTTTGTTTCAAGTAGAAAATTCCTGCATAATATCATTACCCATTATTAAAAATTAAAATACTCTTCCGAAACAGCCTTTAAGTTTATATTTCGTTATGTGATTGGAAAAACAAGAATGTGTTTTTCCATCAGATGGTTGTTAAAGGTAGTCAACTACCAACTTATCTTAACATAGTGCACGCAATGTCAATTCACCTAGAATAATGGACACATTGCAGCTTTATTGATAGGATTCAATCTGCATTAAGAAAGACCTGACATAAATGACATTGATCACTACCTAGTGAGTAATCAATTGTAAATGTTGTTTTACTTCATTTCAACTCAGTTAGATTCATTATGATATATATTGATAATTGAATATATTTATTTCATCCATTATTGTTATTTTCTCTGATTTGTTCTCTGGTTTCTTTTTTTTACTATTTATTTACTTCTAGAGGAGACAATCATGGGTGAGCTAATTTATTTTATTATTAAAACTGTCTCTATGTACACATAGTTTGCATTTATTTACTGAAAAGGTAAAGTTAAATCGTTATTTTGATTTAAACACTTTCAACTGATATTAGTGTTCAATATTCAATTTTAAAAAGACAATAAATTTGATGGAGAAACCATATATAATGTGTTTACAATCCAATAATCAAAGATTTATGGACGTATTTTAGTTCGTAGAAACTGTTATTTTGAATTAACGTCAAAGAAATACTCAGCATTTGGCGCTCATCAGTAAGGTATACCCTTGATGTTTAGGGAACTGATAATGTCTGTGGGATTCAAACTTATGTTATCCTTGTTCATAGTCTGAGACGTAACCAAGTTAGCTATTAGGTTTACGGGTAACCTCCCGTAGGTCTGTGATATTTACAATTGATTAATCATTGAATAGTGATCAATGTCATGTTTTTCTAGTTCTTTTGGTGCTAATAGGAATCTACCTATAAATTTGCACTGTGGCCACTAGCTTAAATGACTCATCATCATATGCATTATATTGAGATATTAAATGATTGGAGAATGTTGGTTCAGTGATATCTGGAGGAATATTTTGTTATATGATAGTTTCACAGTAGACCCAATAAGTGTTAATCACGACATGAAATCCGATTTTCAAAACTAATATATTTGTCGTTTCTCTGATTTCACATTAGTATCAAATGATAACAAGCAGTTTAACGCTTTTTCTCAATGAAATCAACGTGTTTAATTTCCGTTATCGGGATTGCTGGATGTTTAGTCACCTTTAGTTAAGGCTCCTTATTTCTTGCTTTGATAGTCTTAGTTCATTTTCGAAGACATGGAGTCTAAATCAAAGATATGAATATAATGAAATGTGCACTCAGTTCAAATACAAATACGCACTGTTTCTAAACCTATGCCTTTCATTTCATATAAATTGACTAAAGTGTCTAAAGAATTCATACAAAACCAGCTTATCATTTAATTCTATTTTTTATTTCATACACTTATTATTAAGAAATCTCATCGATCGACTTCAGTATGTCCCATATCGTTTTTTTAAACAAAGCAAATCACATTTAATTTTTTAAGTGTTTGTATTGCCCTGTTGTTGATGTTAAGGACTTAAATTCTTTCTGCCAAGTCTGCATCCTGTCTAGTGCATCGATATAGCCGCTTGCTTCTAGTAAAAGTGCATTGTTACTAGCAGTTGACTCCAGGACATGTGTTTCTTTTTATTTGTGACTCATCAGTTAGATGTATCTCCTGGTCAGTCTCAATCCATAACATCAACAGTGAGAAAATAGTCATTCCTATAAAATAAAATTCATACTCGTTGTACAGCATACTTACTATGTGGACTCAGCAGTTCAGTAGATAAAGCTGTTTTGAAGAACTTAATATCTGATCATAAAATAGTGTTTGTTTATGAAACAGTTAACAATGAAGAGTGATGTAATCAATTTGGATATATAATTTGACACCATTGATGAACTCCTACATGCTGAGTTAATTATTATAATAAATGAGTAAAGTTTAGTGCCAGAAATGAGTTGGGCCAAAAAAAATTTTTAGCAGTGTTAAGGTTTAGAAAATTCAAGTTAGGACTTGGTATCAAATGTGTCAAGGTTAGAATTTAGGATCGGAGTTTGAGTTTAAAGTTAAGTTCAGGAGCGTATCGGTTAACATTTAGGATTGCGACTGATTATGTCCTAAATCATATCAAATAAGATCGCAAACATTTTGCATCAGAAACCCGTATTTCTTTTAGTTTAGCTTACACAATACGTTACATTTACTATTTGGTTGTCTAAAAAATATTTCCATCAATTTTAAACAATCTAATAACTAGATATACACTACTTTTACTGAATGTTTGATAAGATACATGCTACACTTCACTGCTCTTTGAATTTTGCTCAAACGTTCGACATGTGTTTTCTTAAATCTAACTAGCTTATTCAGTATAACAGGAGAGATTTTCGTGGATATTATAGTTATTTTAATAGTTGAGATCATAGGTCAATTGAAGCTAGACCACCATGAAAAACCTGGAAGCACTGGTTGACCATTTCGTCCTATTTTGGGACTCCTCATCAGTGTGCGTCCACGATCTCACCCAGTAAGATTCGAACTCAGGACCTATCGGTTTCATGCGCGAACGCTTAACCTCTAGACTATTGAGCCAGAATCCAGCGGTGTTAATGTCTAACTTCAGCTAATCCATTAAATTGAGAAATACATCCACCATTGTCTTCAGTGAGTAACTATCTCACAACAGACCTGGTTGAACTTCACTGGTCACTGCTTCTTAATAGAACTCCAGGAGATACCTCTTGAAGCCAGTCAATAGTGAGCATATGTTGATTAATATCAGAAAGGGGTTTTGTGGATATTATAGTATATTTTCACTCTAATTTTTTCATTGATTTCTCTTTTATTTTATTATCAGTTTGGCTTCTTTACTTAAACCAGAAGAAATAAAAGCAATGGCTGAAAAAAATAAACTCGACAGTAATGAATCAGTTGAAAAGTTAAAAAATGATGATATACATACCCATGAAAAACAAACACATGATAATACTTCACCTAAACGAAAATCTAGTAATTATTCAGTTCATTTTACTGGAGAAAATTCTGATCAACCTACTGGATCATCACAAAATACTGAACGAAATAAAACGGATAAAACACGTCGTAAATCAAGCAAAGGTCCATTACCTCCAGTTAATTAAAGTAATATCATGAATCCTGAAAAACATTTAATATTCAGAACTATATAGAAGAAGTTTATTCTCTTAAATAACATGTATAATGAGTTTAATTGATAGTTTATTACCTAAATAATATAGAGATAATTTAAACAAAACAAATACATAATTATGATTTTGATTCCAAGTCATTTGTATAATGTTTTACATATATATATGAAAAAAGATGATCCTGATCTTTGAATCTAATAAATTAGTGATTTTATAGTTAACTTATTGCTATATTTTGTTGGTATTCTATAAGGTTTTAAGATGGAAGGCTTTTAGTTTCATTTTTTATCACAGTCTATTTTCTCTTTTTATCTGTGTATATCTAAATAGTATATTATTTGATGTACTTTTACATAAGTACTTCTTTGATCGTTTTATTTGCAGGCTTTATTTTGAACTAACTTAGTGATCGTACAGGAAAAAGAAAAGTAAACTGTGCGAAAACCATCATATAGTTCATTTATATTGGGCGATTACCAGCTTACGTGATTTCAATAGTCCTAGATTGTTCATAGAACGTTAAATACTCTGGGTTCTATAGAATTAGACAGTACTGGTTTGAAACTATCACAACGACGATTTTCTCAAAAGAAAAACAGGGAGGAAGGTGGTGATGATTGAAAGAGAAGGTATATTTGTTTGTTGACAGAGATGGAGGATTATGTAACTAGAACTAATCATTTAAAAAGAGAGAATTGTTCCAATTGAGGTGGTGTTACCATCTGGTTGTAATGCTCAGTCAAAAACCTTCAGTTAGCAGTCTCTACTAAAGCTGATAAGATCAGTATCAATATCAAATGCTTACAAACCAATTATTTTAGATACTTATTTAGCTTTTAGATCGGTTTACAGAAGGCCCTTTTTCTTACCGAAAACCCAGTTATCTGCTGTGGATCGTCATTGTGGATGGTCTATTCCGATGGTTAGGGTTTACTTGAAATTGACGGTAATGGTGTAATCTTCTACCTTTCAGATAACAGCTAAGCTAGATTATCCTCTTCTGACAAGCAATCATGTAGCTTTCTCAGTAGTAAGCTAAAAGAGATACACGAGATAAACGGAGGGTATATATCGTCGGCTCCCTCTTTTGGCGAGGGGAGGTCAAGTTAATGATCACACTAAGATCCTGTGTGCGTGTTTCGGAGACACAGCATACATCAATCGTACAACATTCTGGCATTCTGGCCAAGGAGGCCTGTTTTCTGATTTGACATAGGGCGTGTACGTTGAGGGCTCCATTGTGTGGTTTGGAGAGAGGTATCAGTAGACCTGGGACAGTGTTTTGCGCATTAGAATCGTTAACTATGGTGACACTTGAGAAGAAAGTCGAAAGAGGAAGTTTAGAGTTGATAATTGAGGTAAGAGAAATGATAAGAATTGAAGAGGGAAACAAATTATTAATACAGTGATCTTGAGTGCTGTTAGAAGTATGAGGGTAGTTATCATTTTCCGTTTGTTCATACCGTGGAAGAGATCCTCCGGAGGTACCTGGAAAGAAAATTGGATTAGAGATGGTCTTAGTGACCTGTGAGCGTGACCAAAGTGCTCAAGGGACAATCACTTGATGCTGGTTACACACGACCTTTCCGTGAGTGGTTTTGGAGTTAGCTCCGTACTTGTTGGGACCTTACCGCCGGAGACGGAGATCTATAGGATAAAGCGAGGTGTACATTTTTAGGGTCGACCCTTTCTACTCCCCTTTCCTTGTTGGAAGGCAGCATCACTGTTATGCTGGTCGTTTGAAGAAAACACCTTACTTTCCCAACACCTCTGTATAGTCTGCAGTACGACTTCTCCCTCAGACCTTGGGTTTTTTAACTTTATTTCTATCGCACTTCAGTCAACCTGTCCAACATGGTAGGACCTAGAGGAACTTCTGTTTCATCCAGCATAGCTCGACTGGTTCATTACAATGGGCAAGTCCGACCACCACATCAAGGCAGCAGCAACGGTCGGGATGTAACACTAAAAGAATGTCAGCAACTTTGAACGCGGTAACAACCAATCGAAATGGCATGACTCGGTCATGCAGATGCGATCAACATAATCTCTTGCTTTTTTCATCAAATGAATTTCTGTCTTCCCAGTTCAAGTGTGTTCTTCAGAGATGCTAGACGTCATATCGCTGATCATCATGATAGTACGAGTCAGTGCAGTGACTAATGTGACTTCCACGTAAGATCTTATAGATTAAGTAGTCGCATCATGGCATCTACAATTTGAAGATTGTCTGTCATTTTGGTGCTGCCAATAGCGAACTTGACCATAATTCTCCAAGGCTTCCAACTATTAGTGAAGTTGTACTGCCAAACAGTTGCCTTTGGTTGGTAGATGACCGTTTGGTTCCTTAGAGTGTAGTAAGAAAAAAGTCCAGATTCTAACTGACATTTACGGTTTTTAGTGGTTTCCGAAAGGCAGTTGAAGTTTTCCACTGATTGTTTAATAAAGGTACGGGCTATTATTTCAGTATCCATCCCTTTGATAGGCATCACCTCTGGTCACCGTGAGAAATAGTTCGCACAAGTTAAAAGACAAAAGTATCTGTTAGATCAAGGTAAACGCGGTCGATGCAAGGGTTACAAACGATACTAAAGAACATTTGTTAAGACTGATCATCGTAGATTTTTGGCAGCTTACATAGCAGTGTTCACATCCCCCTATGTCTCTTCATATACCAACCCAGATAAATCGTTCTGCCATGAGTCTGGTGGATGCTCTGACAATTGAGCAATTTGGTTTATGAAATATATTGAAAGTGTTGCAACGATAAACTTTGTCACAACTGAATGATCCCTACCAGTAGGTGTTTCGCAAAGTTTCCCTACCTGTTCCCACCTGTTTGATCCGTAATTTTAGAGTTTTCGGTGATGCGTCATGCTGAAGATCGATGTTTTTATTTGAAGCTGGGTGAGTTTAAAATGTTCGATACCTTGGAAACTAATTAATGAATTTATACGAGAAAAACGTCTGCAATCACATTTTTGCCCCAGAAATACGCTGTATAACTGAATTAAACTGCGAGAAGTGGTACAGTTGGAGTAATTTTCCGTGAACGAGTTAAGATTAAAAGTGAAAGGTTTATGTTCGATAAACAGAGAAAATCCATGACCTCCCACAGGGTGTTGAAAATGCTTTATAGCGTAATACATATTTAGTAGTTCCGTGATATTCTTTTGCTATACCGTGACTCGATGTCTTGCAGCCTTCTCGATGAGGTTGCCGAATTTCGTTTATACATTGTTGTTAGACTCCTCCATTTGTTGGCCGGATGCTTCTATGACGATACTAATGAGTGTCTGGTCAACATGTTGTGCAATCATATTTGGCTTGGCGATGCCAGCCTCCAAAATGTAAAATGCTAATTGGGCCTTTTCATCCAATTTGATAGGTTTTGCAGCTCGAAGAATTTGGCCTGTTAGCAACCTCATGACCTGAAGTTCGGTATGATGCATTGATAGAAGCTTGACACTACACTGAATGTACTCACATGTATGACTGCAGTCAGTTTTTGATAATCAAGGATAGCTGTCATATTTTTAACTAAGAACGAGTAACATGTGCTTCAATTGTACACTCGACAAAGCTGAAGAATTTGGCTACAGTCTGAATTTTCTGAATATTTTCAGTAATACCATATTTTTCGACTTATTAAAAGTGGGGTCAAGATTATGTGGTCATGATTCTCTGTCCGTAACTGAGATCTAATAGTTGCTAACATATACGTGCAAAAGTTTGAGACCTCCTTGACGAACCACTGGAAAGTCTTCGCCATAAGTCTTAAACGCGAGTTCGCGCAGTTTGAAAGGCTTGATGATTTTAAAGACATCATCCGAAGCTATGACGATTAGTCATGTGATCTAATCAAGTTGACTTTTGAAAAAAGCCATACCTTTAAAGGTAGCTGTTAGGTCGTGAATGTGTGATGACGAGTAACGATCGAAAGTGGTTTTCACATTGGGTAGCCGTAATTGAAATTTGGATGAATACCGTTGCCATTAATTTTAAAGACCGTGTCGCCTGTAAATCAGAAATCAGACCTCGTAAACGACGGTTGGTAATAGCGGAAGGGATACTTCTGTACCATTATCGATGAGATAGCGAGCCTTCGTTATCACATTGTTGTGTATGCTACGTATGTCGAAAGTCATAAGTAGTATATGAGACTGATCAAAACTGGAAAATCTGGCAGCAGAAGGCCAAGAAGATCTAGTTGAAGAGAACAGAAGGGAATATAGAAAGGAATTGTGAATTAGAAGAATCATACAGAATGTGAAGGACGAATGATGGAAATTTGCAAATGAATTATATAAATTATGGTTCTCATATTTTACCAAGATGTAATTTTGTATTGAAAAACAAACCGGTTGTCCTTAACTGTGTTCTCGCCCACAACAACACCAATGATCTATAGAAGATAGCTATATCCACTGCATATGATCAACTTCAACGTGTGTCAGCGGGGTTTATACGGAAAGATTTGTTGTGTCGGTAGGTTAGAAGTTAGGGAAACTGCAGAATCTCCTGATATTTCTGGAAGACTTACTATAGGTGTTGTAACACTAACAACAATTATGATCATATGCTTCTTGCGGTCTAAAAATAGATCCTTTGTGAAATAGGTTTTTGGGGAGTTTTAGGCTGCCTGTAGTCAATTTGTGGTTCAGAAAGTGAGAGAGAAAGTAGTATGGAGATATGTAGTTTCGTTTAGCGTCTATAGAACAAACTTAGTGTCAATTCTGAACTTGAAGAACTTCCAACTTGCCCGTGACGTTCATTGTCTCCATGTTACGCTCTCACGAGCTTAGATAGACCAAAAAGCGGTAATGAATAATAAATTCTTTATATTGCTGTGACAGATGTCCAAGAAGGTAGAGAAAAGGTACTGTCAGAGAAACGGAGGTTTATATAAAACTAACTGTACTTGATCATTATTTTTTCCAGGGGATACAGATGCTTGTTATCATATTATCACT